CAGAATCATTTTAGTAACATATTTCGGAGAACATACTTATATTATAATTGTGTAAGTCAGTTTGTTTGTTTGTTACGCATTCACGCCTAAAACACTAAAGCGATTTAAAAAATATATACAAAAGAAATGCTACATTATTGGCTATTAAGAATTAATTATTTTTATTAATTATTAATTAATTGTTACCACGATAACCGACATTCACGTGGCGGAGCCGCGGCCCAAAACTAGTACAGAATAAAATTTGTATGAGTTGTCTTCATATCGAGGCGTCATTGTTGAGTGTAGGTACATTTCACCGACGCGCGCATCACCCTTTAAAAATATAGCCCCTGTCGATTCCAAAAGAAATCTTAAAAATAGTTACGCGATTTCCATTAAAGTCTTCAATTAAACCCAGAACGATTAAAAAAAAACTACCCTTTAATAAGTTTGTCCCAGCCCTGAAAGATTGGTTAATTACTAATACATTTTATTCGGTCAAAGACTTTTTGATTGAAGTAGTAGGTATAATGAATAGTTAAAAATCAATACACAAAAACTGATGAATAATGACAATAATCTCTAAGTTAATACATAAGTTTTTTTAAATAAAATGTTAAATTTGCATGCTATTTTCATGGCTAAGTGGACCTGTACGCATTATTTTAAACCTTTATCTATTTGCTTTATCTCTATAAATTGGGCGTCTGGGGTCTACCACAATATATGTACCACCCCATTTATAGCAAATATATAATTTGAATTTAAGTGACATACACACATACGAGTAGAGTAAAACCTTATAATACGGCAACGATATCAAAGTATAATCTACTAGTATGAAAAAGTAACAGATATATATTTACTACAATCAAGCGGATTAGGAAATAGTATTAAAATACTATTTCCTAATCCTTAAATTTAATTTTAAGTAAAGATAAGAGGAGAGGCTTATGTCCAGCAGTGGAATATTAAAGGCTGTTGATGATGATGAAAGATAAGAGACTAGGTACAATCAATATCATAAGTGATGTGCCGGATATCCGTATCCGTATCCGTATCCGCGGATATCCAAGGGAGAAGAGAGATCCGTAACCGTATCCGTATCCGTGACTTTTTTGGCGGATCTTTCAATACATAGATGAAATTCTATATAGGTGATTTTGTATTCACTGTAAAACTCTTAGGTATGTGTTTGTAACACTATAAACAGCAACTTTTTTTCTGGCCAACGTCAAAATGAAAAAAAATTGGTCCTCCATTCAAATGACCAATCAAACCAAAGTTGTTAGTTTGTATGGAGAAACAATTTTTTTTCATTCGTTTTCGGTGTTAGTCCAGAAGAAAAGTTGTTGTTTATAATTTTACTAATATGCACTTCAGAGGTTTTCAGTAAATTTAAAATAACCCTGAATAATGGTTATTAGGTAGCTATGAAAAACTATTGAATTCTGTTCAGCTTACTTTTTATTTCTTAAAACAAATATTTGGCACCTTTGCATTGCAATCATTTATCGTACTACACTAAATCAACTAGGCAGGTCGTAGGTACTGAAAGAGCTATCTTTATAATGAGATCAATCAAACATCTTTGTATTAGCTTATTAAAATGATGAAATATTTAAATATCAACGGCAAAGCGTCAAGTGGCGACAACAATCAAGGTCACGGGCTCCGATTGAGTAAGAAACTTAAGATCCGTATCCGTATCCGCGGATCTAGACACCTAATATCCGTATTCGGATGCGTATCCGCGTATATACTTTGTTGACGATCCGGCACATCACTAGTATATATATATATAACCAAGTCCAACGGTATCATATCCATATCGTAGTGAATACTTATACATAGTTTTCAAACACGGTCCTTCAAAATGAAAATCTGCCATATCCAACAGCTAAACAAAATTGTTTTTTACATTGAGATAAAATTGAATTGCATGTTTTGCAACGTGTTGCAATTTTTTATGGTAAAGAGAGCAAACACATGATTAGTGACTACGGCGACGCATAGATATCTATAAAATTAAAAGCCACGAGAGGAATATATTGCAGATGATAGTTTAAATGACAAAATGAAATAAGGTGAAGCAAAAAGGGTATTGAAAAGCACAGTGTGAGTGCAATCATCGATATGGGGCTTGACATTCTTTAGAGCGCCCCACTAATACAAGCAATAGAGAATGCAGAGTGAAGCATATTTATGACTGCTTTCTTCGTTATATATGACAATCCAGCCGTTTTCATATTGCTTACGTTATTAAAGTACTGGTATATTTGACGAAGTATTGCAAATATATTTCCAAGTATCCATAGTTGTCAATATAAATTTATAGATTAAATTTATATTGACAACTATGGATACTTGAATATTTCTTATTTCAACTGCTCTCTTGTTTTTTATACTAACTGTACATCTCTGCGTAAGTACATTAAATGGTGCACCTTTCGATTTCTGAACATGCAAAGTTGTCACCTTCGTCTTATCAATGCATTTGCAATCAACTGTGATTGTGAATGTAAATATTATAATCTGCATTATATATAAATGCAGATTATAGTATTAAGTCATAGCCTCCCTACATTTTTATAAGATAGATAGATAGATAGATAATAAGCGTAAGGGATCAAGGAAAATGGTCTTTCAAAAAATACATGAACATTGATAAATACGCACTTATACCCAGTCCAGATCAAAACAAATATTAAGGATATGGCATAAAGTCTAGCAGGAACTGGATATAAGTTTAAGTAAAAAAATAATTGTATTTAACAAAACAACTTCGTACTACACACACTATAAAATACAGATTGATTGTTTTAGTAGTGTTTTAATTAACCCTTTAAATGCGAGAATCTTGTTTGTTGACATGTGAGTACGGTATAATTTATTTTGAGAGAAAATGAAACAGAAAAGCAAGTATACAGACATCTTCTGTCTTGTTTCTCAGTCTGTTTACTGTTTTATCACATTACAAGAATAAGAGAAGAGTAAATCAAAAACTAATATTACACAGGTGGTCTGAAAAGTTTCCGACCTCAACACGAAGATGGCAACACCCGTGAATAAAAGCTAGTGAATTTCGTTGTTTATCTGTTGACAGTTACTCGCCAAAGTTTCAGCCATTTACAGTTACAGCCGTTTGAGTGAGTTGATGTGAGTGTTTTTATGAAAATGGACAGAGGACGAGTATCGAGCTGTCATTTAATATTTGTTTTTGAAAGGCAATACGCCCTACGCAAATCAAAGATAAGTTGGATTCTTTGTATAAGGACTCTTCACCATCATTTACCACAGTGAAATTTTCGACAGCTGAATTGAAACGTGGCCGTAAGAGCTTGGGAGATAATGAACGTTCGGGACGTCCAAAAACTGCAACTACCGACTAAAACATCGTTCACCAAATGGTGCTAGACGACCGCCGAATTAAAGTGAGGGAGAAAGCAGAGATTATGAACATGTCAAAAGAACGTGTTTGTCACATATTATATCAACATTTAGACATAAGAAAGCTGTCCGCGCGTTGGGTGCCACGTTTGCTCACGTTAGACCAATAACGTGTTCGAATGACCATTTCCATCGCTCTGTTGGCGCAGTTTAGGCGCAATAAATCAGAGTTTTGGCGCCGATTAATTACTGTAGACGAAACTTAGATACACCATTATACGCCCGACACAAAAACGAAAAATACAGTCCAAAAGGTGGACTGCAAAAGGCGAACCGGCTCCAACAAAGGCAAAAACTGTTTTTTCGGCTGGGAAAGTGATGGCGACTGTTTTTTGGGATAGGTAGTCATGAAGTTATTTTTGATTATCTCCAAAAAGGAAAAACCATTACAGGAGCATACGGATCATTACTTGACAAGCTGAAGGCAGAACTTGCGGAAAAACGGCCACATTTTCAGAAAAAGAAAATCCTGTTTAACCAAGACAACGCAGCGTCAACGTCAACGTCTTACACCTCAGCAGTTGCCATAGCGAAAATCCACGAAAGAAAAACGCGGAGGACTATTTGGACGGGTTACAGAGATGGGAGCATCGCTGGAAGAAGTGTGTAGAGTTACAAGGAGACTATGTTGAAAAAAATATATCTGAAAAAAGGTCTTGTATCTTTGTGAGGTCGGAAACTTTTCAGACCACTCTCGTACCATTAGTTTACCATCTAGTGATAGTTGGTAGTTTCTGATTTACTAGAAAACTATGTTCAAAACACATAAAAGACTGAGCTTCTCAATAAGCTAGTTCTTTTATGCTATTTGAGTGGGTATAAAAGCGTACCTATTTTACCTGTATGAAAGGTATGCATGTCATTATCTGTTTTCAAAATCCTGTTAATTTGAACGCGAACAGATTCACAGGTAAAATCTAGTGCATTTATAAATCGCATTATATTCTTATACATATATACCTATATACATATAAAATGTTTAATAAGTAGTAGTTTTATCTGAAGTTTCGTGTGTTCCACAAAGCGATTTAAGACTTTTTATTACATTGATAAGAAACTATTAAACAGGAACGCCATGCTCATAATGTTATAAGAATAAAACAATTCCAATAACAATTCGTTGACGAGGTTTACATAATAGCATCGAAAATGTTTCTTTGAAAATTAAGTAAGAGTTTTTTGAAATTAATTAAATTTAAACGTACATTTAATAAACAACGTCTAAAGGAATAAAATAAAAGGAATATTATTAGTTAGTAGTCTAGTTGACCCGTACAACTTCGACTGCATCTCTCAAATCGAATAAGTTTTCCTCGTTTTTGCAACATTTCACATTGACGCTTGGTGGTCGTAGCATCATATAATAATATAGCCTATAGCCTTTCTCGAATATTACAATTCGAACCAGTAGTTCCTGACATTAGCACGTTCAACCGAACAAAGTCTTCAGCTTTATAATATTAGTATAGATTATACGTGTCTTGGGGATAATGTCTGTGTGTGAGAGTTCGTTATTTATATCTGGCGCCCCTAATGCCTGTAAACGAGAAACATCTAAGAATACTCACCCCAGTGGACTCCTTAGGTTTTGGTACCCCCAGGTGTTCGTAAGCGAATAGAGATTGCTCCATTAATCGATCGTAGCTGATATTTATGGGAACTATGGTGATATCTGTCACTTCGTGTGCGAACAGTGGCATCAAGCACATGGATAACATACCTGTGGAGAGAAATTGTAGATTTTGTATAAACCACTAAAGAAAAGGTATTGAATAAATTGAATAGGTATTGAGTTGGTTCTCATATGTTATCTCGTATGTTTTACAAAATTTTTGCTAATTGTAAACTATATCTTTTGGTAAATCAATGATAGAAAAAATAATAATATGGTAAAGTAATACAAATTTACTTTCTCATAACATATTACACAGACATCTATACAGGGTGTAAGGGACGTCGTGACGAATACTGAAATAGGATATTCAAACCATCATTCGTCCCTTACACTCTGTATATGTAATATCCCTTCGTTCATACTGCATATTGGTATAACTTTTTATAAATTAAAACATTAAAGGTTACACAATATTTATTCCAATTTAGTGGACTGCCTACACGTATATTTTTATCGATTTAAATGATAACATAAATGTTATTAATTCACAAAAATCAACAGTAGTTTGTAGAACTCAAAAAGAGCACAAACAACTTCGATAATCCCAATTAACTAATAAAAAAATATCTTACCATATTTAGGGGGTATACTCTTATTGCTCCGACTTCTCGTGCCTTCTAAGAAAAACTCAATAGGTGCGCAATGCTTAGCCACCAGAGTCCGTACGTACTGCTTGAGAGTAGCAGCATACAACTGGTCGCCGACCAATGTGCGGCGAATGTAGAACGCGCATGTCTCCCGCATGCGACGCCCAATCACCGCCATTGAGTAGAAGTCTAAAATTTTCACTAAGGTTAGATAAAAAATTAAATTATATGAAGTTTTTGGATCAAACTATTACAACACATTGTTTTATCCGGTTTATTATTAGGATGGCTTATTAAATGTTTACAAGTAAAGTATGTACGAGTACGACTATTAGGAGGGGAGGGGTACCTGGCCCGTTCCCGGGCCTGGCGGACCAGAAGAGTAAAATCTAAGTCTATATAGAGATTTAGACTTAGATTTTCCGCAGTCTCCTCCGCAAGCATAACTTGACCACAGAAGGAGACGGCGGCGTTCCATAGCCGCAATCATGATACTAAGCACGAAAATTCTCACTCCGATGGCGGCATCGAGGTCACGCCTCTGCTCAACCCACGCCGTGCATTCTGCCAGCGTGTAGAGCGCCGTGTCCCTAGTCCGGCCATCACAGTGGTGACACCCAGGCGTTGGCTACTTGCGGATCAGTCACAGGTGATCCCTGAAGCATCCTTTCTCGGTGATCACCTGCGACAGCCAGTATGAGAGGGTCCCGAGATGCCTCTTGAGCCATTCCTACATAACGGGTCTTACCGCCGCAATAACGGCGTGCCCGGCGCTTGGTTGCCCAAGTCGTTCCTTCCACTCCTCTACGAAGACCTGGCGGCGTTTTGATATCTTATCCTCAATTTCTCGAGTCTCAGGACTCCCACCCAACTCCCGCGCCTCCTTGCGCCACTAATACAGAGCCGCAAGGGCTCTCGCCTCAAGGTCCCGTGGTGAAGATCCGGACAGGAGACTCGCCACCTCTATGACAGCCAGCCAGACTCGCTGCGGTCGTCGCAGTAGAGCGACGTTGCTGGCCTTCAGGGCTTCCGCCCATACCGGGGCCCTATAAAGGGCCATGGACTGCACAACCCCCGAGTAGAGTCTCCGTCCAGTTGAGAGAGATTTAAAATACCCTGCAAAATTATTGTCAGATTTTTAGCTAGTATGCTTAGGAACATCAAGCTGAACAGTCTGTAAAAAATCTAAAACGCTCGGGTATTTTCTTCACTTCTTGTAACGCGTCAGCGCTCACCTCCACTGTCTGCTGTGTTACCCTCTCTACCTAACCATATTTGATAAGAGCCTAGTAATGCCGCTTTGGATATTCATTCTAGAAAAGAGCTTACTGAAGCTCTTGGCAATCCAAGGTACAAGCAGATCATAGAGGGATGTAGCTGCTACCACCGACCCACTTCCACGGCATACAACGCATCGAAATAACCATTTCTAGTTATTTCGATGGCTAAGTCAAAGTACTTGTTTGTTTTTAAAGCGTGGTCTTTAGGGATGTTTCTCACAGTACCGCTTAATGGACTTTGCATAAAGAAATATGTCTGATCTGGACGTCGAGGCACAGATATCCTCCGGCATTCTGTAATGATTTTCATACGTGTAGTACGGCTTTTGTGAAGTCTCTCTTGTTGAGCCTTCCTTTACAAATTCAATGCTAGTTCTTATGTTTGTTGTTACTTCTTTTATCGCTCTCGTCAGTGATAAACTAATAGCTTCGCGTATGATTTGTAATACCCTATCATGGCGATATGAATAATGACCCCGGTCCAATAGCACCTCACAAGTTGTCGATAAGTGCCTGGCAGTACCAATTGCCACACTGCACATCGTACAAGCCTCTTCTGTAGCTTTTCCCCACCTTGGTTGCTTTGATCGGGAGAGTGATTAAAAGGCGTTGAATACAACAACATCCGTATTTCATTAAAACATCACTATTTTATTATGGATATGGAAGTGAGTTTGTTTGTTTTTTAGTTAGGTTTTGCGCGTAAAAGACTAAATTCATTTAAAAAATTATTTCACCAATGACAGTGACACCATAAGTAACATGCACGCGGGCGGAGCCGGGGACAAAAGCATAGTAAAAGTAATATATAAAACAAACAACAATAATAGTTAAAAATTATATGTATTTAAAATCGTCTATAGTGAGTTTATGAATTGAGTATTAGTTTAAGGGTTTAGGTATATAGGAAACAATTAACTCATTAATATTTATTTGTTGTAAGTAGGTGCTTCTAAACAATACCTTTCAGTTTTAAATTATCTACGTCATCGCCAAAAATCTAAAATTCGAATTTGTATTATTTTCCTGTTTTGGCCTTGGTAATGTTTAATTGAGGTTGCTTTTTTTCAAACAAATTAAACCTCTCTAAATGTAAAATTGTTCTACTTCTAATACTCATAATTGTAGAGATCTACTTACAGGAGGATGAAACTCGGGCAAGCCGTCAGCGCGGCGGTAAGACCCGTTATGGAGGATTGGCTCGAGAGGCGTCACGGGACTCTCTCATACCGACTGACGCAGGTGATCACTGGGAAAGGATGTTTCGAGGATCACCTGTGTCTGATCCGCAAGGAGCCATCGCCTGAGTGCCACCACTGCGATGGCCAAACTGTGGACACGGCTCTCCACACGCTGGCAGAGTGCCCGGCGTGGGTTGAGCAGAGGCGAGACCTCGTGGCGGCCATCGAAGTGGGAGTTCTCTCGCTCGATAGCCTGATTGCGGCTATCGTGCGGAGCGAGAGTGCGTGGAACTCTGCCGTCTCCTTCTGCGAGCAAGTTATGCTCGCGAAGGAGACGGCGGAGCGGGACCGGGAGAGGTTTAGGACTCTCCCGGCACGCCAGGCCCGGGAACGGGCCAGGCACCGCAGGTGACTCAGGCGCCGGAGGTCGCAGAACGACGTCCGTCCTCCATAAGCGCAGGCCTGGGGGTGACAGGTGAGGCCATCTGTCACCCTAGCAGAAGCAGGCCGGGGTGGCGGCGAGCGCGTTGCGAAGCGCGCTCGCTTCCAGGGAGCACAGGGAACATGGGGTTCCCACACGGGGGGGGGGTCGTCTACTCGTCTGTAGATGACCCGAGGTATGTCGGGGCACCAGGGACTTCCTTTCTAGGGTATACCTGGTTCCCCGGCTATTAGTGCGGCGTGCGGTTTTAGTCGGTTCGAGTCCGACATGCCACCGGTAGGTGGTATCCGAGGGGATTTCCGCACAGAAAAAAAGAAAAGGAGGATGTAACTAAAAATTGCGTATCTTGTACATAATGACCTCATAAAATAAACAATTTTGGAAGAATGCCAACAAAGTAGATAGTGGTGATGGAGACACCACACTAAAATTTACTTTTTCAACATTCCTAGTTATAAAGTAAGTTTTTCAATTAATTGAAATATAAACCAATACTACAGCATCTAGAATCCCATTTAAATATTTAGTCTGTATGTTGCAGTATAAGTAACACTCACAACTGTCACTTGAAGATTTAGGAAGAGGTGAAATACATATATATTTGGACAATCATTTCCTCACCACCACCAACAGCCTATAACAGTCCACTGCTGGACATAGGCCTCTCCTCAGAAAAGAGGTTTTGGCCTACTATGTCACGCTGGAAAAATGGGTTGGTATAGGGTTTGTTTCAAGTTGTCCTTCTCTTAGCAATGCTGTCGTCCTGCGTAGTTTGCTCCCTTAGTCGGCTCTTATGACACCCACGGGATGAATAGGGGTGGTGACATTCCGTATTCTCAATCCGTCACCACACGGACATATCATTTCATATTATATGTATTATACGCTTAATTATTAGGGCTTTACCTATGAAATTGCCGTTTTGTATGCAATAAGTGAAAGTACTTATTTTTTCAAACTTTTTTATTTCTGTTATTCTAAGTAATCACCCATGCTATCGACGCATCTGTGCCAACGCATTGGCAGTTTATTGATGCCCTTCTTGTAAAAATCAGCTGGATGGGAGGCAACAAACTCTTCAAAGGCATTTTGTACTGCCTCTTGGGAATTGAATTTTTTACCCACTAAAAAGTTGTCTAAATTTTGGAAAAAGTAATAGTCGGTAGGTGCAAGGTCTGGTGAGTATGGCGGATGAGGGAGAGCTTCCAACCCCAGCTCTTGCAGCTTGGAGACTGTCTGTTGCGCAGTATGGGGTAGCGCGTTGTCGTGAAGGAGCAGTGGGACGACCGATTGACCAAAGCTGGTTGCAGATGTGACCACCAGAGACCTTGCACCTACCGACTATTACTTTTTCCAAAATTTAGACAACTTTTTAGTGGGTAAAAAATTCAATTCCCGAGAGGCAGTAATTAGTATTAGTTAGATCTATTCATAAGAGGGCAAGTTATGTCTGACAACTATATACTTTGGTAAATACAGGAAAAGGTAGGTAACTAAAAAGTGTAATAGATAAAAGGGAAAAATACTACCTCAAAATACACTACAGAAATCGTAATAATATATTGTGATATCTATGTACTACTATAGTGTGTCTGTCTGTCTGATACTCTTAATGCTCAAACCGCTGAACCAAATTAGATGAAATTTGGTATAGAGACAGTTCAAGTCCTGGGAAAGGACATAGGATGGGTTTTATGGCAGAAATCATCCTTTAAGGGGGTGAAAACGGGAAGTGGAAGTTTGTATGGGGAATCAATAACGGCTGAACTGATTAAGATGAAATTTGGTATGAAGATAGTTTCATTCTTGATAAAGGAGACAGGATAAGAGCCGGAGGCTAGAGCTAGTTTAAAGAAAATTATATATCAATACAACATACCCATGCCCGCAGCTACTGCAGGGAAGTCAATATCATAATGGTAACATAAGTATGTCATCAGGCAGAAGTCAGCATAGCTTCTGTGTGTGGGCAGAAAAAGTACTGGATTCTTGCCAATTGTTGACTTCAACTATAAAAAAACATATTTTTTCTAATATGAAAATAGTTTTTTTTTTTGAAATTGTGTGATGCTTAAATCTCTAAACTTTTAAGTAGTGTATTAAAAATTCTATAATTATTATGCTTAGAGATTCTCTAAGATCTTAGAGCATTTCTAAATCAGAATTTCATTTTTTCATGAAGTTCCTTAAAAGTCCTTGAAATCACCATTTAAAAGTTATTTGTGTGCTATTTGAAATGTAAAAAAAAAATCTACCATGAGCTGATCAAAAAGAGTTTTATTTGATTTAAGTGACATATAACAAAAAAGTTTTAAGTATTAGGACCAAACTTACATTCAAGACAGCAGCTTCATTCACAAACATCTTTATTTTCATCATGAATGAAATCTTCAGGAATATCACTCCCATCCATCTAATGATGTGCAGTTTCTTATCCAAACCCATTTCTTCTAAATAGCTGTGAACATTTCTCTGTAATTTGGCTTTGTTAACACCAGTTCTTGAACATTCCTAAAAGATAACATAAATTTAGTTGAATCATTATATTTTTGAATGATAAACAAACATATTAATATGCTAACTGACTGCTAAGCTTTCAGTTGTGGATTCATATCCCACCTAGGACAAACATTGTGTGATAAGCACGATAATTTGTTCTGTCTGGGTTTAATTTTTCTATAATATGCATGTATTTAAAAATATATAAGTATGTTTATCAACAGGCTGGTTACCACAGTATAGGCTCTGCCTAGTTTGGGATAAGACTGTTGTGTGCAAGATGTGTAAAGTCATTATTATCATTATGATTTTACACATTTTATATTTCGAATATGTATAACTTTATACAAAATCAGTATTATTTTCAAATATTTTTCTGAAAACATGTAGACCAAAGGTAAACACATAATAGAAATGGTTAACCTATTCCTGGTACTCATAAAACTAAATTACTTACCGCTTCTATAATAGCATCTAAATACGGAGAATTTTCTACAATATTTTTGAGATCTTCTGGGGTACAATATCTGTCTAGAATTTGTGTTCTTTGTGGATACCAGTTCCTGGACATAAAACTAAATATCCCTGACTGGGTCCTCCTTGGTTCCAAAATATCAACAAAATTAACTTGTTCACACATATTTGCAGATAAATAAAACAAATACTACTTTTAATTATTCACATTACTATTTACACGGTTATTTACACTTTGCTATTAGACTGCTGCGACAGATACTATTTGTATTGAAACTTAACAGAAGTTTCGATTGATTAAATTAGTAATTTAACCAGATAAATCTATTAAAACCGCATAAACACTACTTTCCTAACCGCTTTACCCGAGAACGAGAATTACACTGACAGACAGCGACAGTCCTGGACTGTCGCTGTCTGTCAGTGTAATTCTCGTTACTCGCTACTATGTGCCTATGGACTGTCAGTCCATAGGCACATAGTAGCGATTTGACAACTAAAAAAGTGACAACGAAGTGATGTTAATGGCTAGAAGTGACAGCATAAAGGAATAATATTTTTAATTTAATAGTGTACTCCAGGAGTTACCAGAGCACGGTGGGACTTCGGACATCATTTCCAAGGTCTGGTCCCCAAGCTCGTTGGACGCGGCTGCTGCCCAATATGAGGGGACGCGATGACTCCTGCGGAAGGCTCTACTCATGGGTCGACCCTTTATGGGGCCCCAGTGTGGGTGGAGGCCCTGAAGGCCAGCAACGTTGCCTTACTACGGCGACCACAGCGAGTGTTGGCTATCAGTGTCATAAAGGGGTACCGCACGCTCTCCTTTGAGGTGGCAAGTTTCCTTTCCGGAACTCCACAATGGGCCCTTGCGGCTCTGTATCAGTGGCGCAAGGAGGCGCAAGAGTTGGGTCAGAGTCCTGATTCTCGAGGAATCGAAGATCGGAAATCCCAGCTCCACCAGGTCCTCGTGGAGGAGTGGAAGGAACGACTATGACAACCACGCTCCAGGCACACCGTTATTGCGGCGGTAAGACCTGTTATGGAGGATTGGCTCGGGAGGCAACACGGGAACCCCAAAGGATGCTTCGGGGATCACCTGTATCTGATCCACAAGGAGTCAACGCCTGAGTGTCACCACTGCGATGGCAGAATGAGTTGAGCAGAGACGTGACCTAGTGACGGGCATCGGAGTGGGAATTCTCTTGCTTAGTTCAATGATTGCGGCCATGGTACGGAGTAAGAGCGCGTGGAACTCCGCCGTCTCCTTTTGCGAGGAAGTTATGTTTGCGAAGGAGATGGCGGAGTGGGACCGTTAGAGGTTTAGAACTCTCTCGGCCCGGGAGCGGTCCAGTTACCGCAAGAGACTCAGGCGCCGGAGGTCGCAAAACGACCTCCGTCCTCCATAGGCGCCTAGGTGAGGCCATCTGTCACCCTAGCAGAAGCAGGCCGGGTTGGCGGCGCCACGCGCTGTGGAGCGCGCGCGCCCTTTAGGTTGCAGAAGGGGAACACCGTGGTTCCCACACACGAGGGGGTCATCTACAAGCCGTAGATGGCCCGGGGTCCGTCAGGGTTCCAGGAATATCTTTCCTAGGGTCCTTATCTTTCCTGGTCGGTTCATGTCCGACATAACCGACATAAAAAAAAGAGATATAAGAACAGAGTTTCTTTGTGTATTCGATTTGTGTTTCATCTCTGCAAGTCAAATATTTACTTAAACTATGTATCCGAACGGAAGTTAACGCTATTACATTATAAATATTTCATCGAGGTCACGGGTTCGATTCCCACACAGGACAAATAATTGTGAGATGAGCACCATCATTTGTTGTGTCTGAGTGTAATTTATCTAGAATAAGTAACCATGTTTATCAGCAGCCTGGTTACATATAGCACAGGCTCTGCCTAGTTTGGGATCTAATGTCCGTGTTTGAGAATGATGAAGTAAATAAACCACTAAATAGTTTTCAGAAGACTACAAGACTGTTAAAACCGATGTTACTAATATATGCTCGCGATCTTGCAAAGCATATGTTAGCAGTAAACGATATTTATTTATCCAAGTAAATCTTTTCAAATATTTTAAAAGTCCTAAATTATAGCTCTAGCACTCTGGGAAGAAACGCCGAAACAAACCACAGAGCAACCACTTGTAAACAAAAGATCGTCTTTGCGAAAGACTGCACTTCGAATAAATTATTAAAATTCTTTTTGGAACCTTACTACCTTAAACGAGGCTAAAAAGTTCCACACAAGTTTGTTGAATGGTCGTGGTAATGGTTTAGATGGTGACTATTTTCCAGGGTTGACATTGCCTTCAGGTTTATTATCTAGACGCGATGGAAAATTGTTTAGTCTTGCTTGTTTTGTTTTAAAGACAATGCGCTGAATCTTGTCTCGAAGAGTTTTAAGCTTTTGAAGTGATAAGCAATGAATGCGATTTTCAGTATCGTTAAATATCTTAACTGAAGACGACAGTGAAGACACCGGTAATGACATACAAGCATAAAGATCCTTTCCGTGTCTAAGAAATACACCGTTTTAATTGTATATACAAGACATCGTCGGCAAACCGAACCATGTACTGTTGTAGCAAACTCCAGGTGTCTAAAATAATCAGCATTTGATAAAGTTTGATTTTTATTTCTTCGTGTTATTATTCCGCGTTTCGTCGAAATGAAATCCGTGCCATGAGAAAATATATTATTTAGATTGATTTATTGACTATTCTGCTTTTTATGCGTTTATCAAAATACCGAAACGAATCTCCGTGTTAAAAAGGCTATAAAGCTATTAAAAAGCAGATCACTACAAGGAGTAATAAAAAAACAATTACCTCCGTTAAACATACTGCAGAAGCTACGGGTGTGACTGTCCGCACTGTACAAAATATACTTAAAGAAGGAAACAATGTAATTTTACTCTAATATTCCGAACCCCTGGTATAAAATATAAATGGAGTTAGTTCCTACCTACCTTTTTGATCTGCTGTTATTAAATAGTTATTTGCCACCATACACTAAATATTGAACATATTTTGATTGTATTATATTGTTATAGCACATTGCTCGCATGTATTTTACTTGTTTGCCACTTTAGTACTTAAAACATTCATGTTAACCTTTCGAAAATATGTTATAGTATTTGTATGCTCAGTACGTTTGTTTGCGAAGGTACCTGCGCAACATTCGGTTTGTAGCCAACTTCGTTGACGCAGAGTTATTTGGCGCGTATTATACAGCTTTCCTTCTTCCATTTTTTTACATTTCGATATCCTAAATGTCCATATAATTAATTAATTTCTTATTATACTAGGTGTTTTACCCCATTGTAGAACACCTAGTATAATAAGAAATTAATTATACAAGGGAAGAAAATTATACAAGGATTTAAATATTTCAACTTTAAGACTAGACTGTATGTCTCGCATATACACACATTATATTATTTTTACCAGAGAAAAAAGAAAAATGTGTAAATATAAATATAGTTTCCCTATGAGGTACTTTTTGTTGTTGTGCGTTGTTGAGTTGCGTTGTAGTTGTTGTAAAAAGTGAAAAATTCAACCTACTCTACTTTCATCTATGTTAGTGTAAAAATAAAACAAACTCCGATTTTATAATTTTCAGATGTAATAACGACATTAAAGTCATAATAGGAAATACAATTAATAATTTTAAGGCCTTGTAGATATAATAAAAAATTGTTATTCTACTACAATTTTCACATTTTGGACAGATTAAAATTCCGGAAAACAAATCAATAATATCACTAACTATGGCGTTAAAACATCGATATACTATACTATCTAAACAGATAATAATTAACATCACACATGTTATACGATAGTTTTTAAACATACACTTAGTGCCACAATATCGGGTTATATTCCTTTAGCACCAAAGTAACTTTATAATGATTAAAAAAATATTTCAAATACAAATTAGTAGAAATAAAAAAGGTACTTGACTCCAAAATAGCACTACTAAAAGACTAACTCGACTTACAGTGTTTTGCCTTAACAACGCTCAATCAGTTTCTTTACGTCGGTTTAGTACCCCTGATCCACATTTTTGTTATTCTAAAGTGTATTTCAGAAGAGACAATAATCTAATAAATACTGTACTGTATTGAAATTAAGGTTTTAACGTGGTAAAAAACTGTAACAAAGCGTTCAAAGTCAAAAGTCGTTTTCAAATGTTACAGTGGATTGCACTGTAACAGTACATTGGATTGGAAGTGCATTTTTCTCACAATTTTTGTCATGTTCTTAACAACTATCGAAGATATTTCCTCACAGTTACTAATCGCCTATCAAATATGGCACAACCATAGAGGATGATTATTAAGACTTGTATGCAAGTATTAAGTGTTAATAATAATCATAATCAAATTACTATAATATGAAACTATGATATTAAATGAAATAAATATTAAACAGGTCTGAACAGAATCCAGCTGCATTACATACCAAAGTTACCGGTGAAGCATGAGTACCACTTCACTAGGTATACAAAATTCTATGGCGATATAGAGGAATGCAATTGATTAATAGGAACTTAAGTTAAATCTTCGGCGTACGTATAAGCCAGTTGAGGTACTATAATATTACATAATATAAAAATAGGAAAACTTAACCACGATTTTCTTTATTCTTATAAATTATAATATAAACCCTGCAGTCTGTCCGTGTTACTGTCAGTCTGTATCAGTTCAGTCGTTTACACCGCGTCTGATGCATTATTATATTTCTTTAAAATTTTGACCATCTACAGCAAGACATTTTAAAGTCACAAGTATAAACAGGTTTAATAGTCATCTTCAGTTTACCCTTAATATAACCATTTACTTATGAAGTTGGAAGAGTAGTAATTTTTAATAGATTTCAGTTTATAAATATAAATAGTTATACAAATAGCCAATAATAGCATGTAGCAGGGTACGAAACAAAATCGTATCTATATAGGTAGTGAAGGAACAGAATACTCATTTTATAACCCTGTTACTAATTATTACTAAAGAAATATATTCTGTACTGTTCTACACTAGACTATAGCACATTGAGACCTACATTCTTATAGGGCAATGCAAAACGCGTTTTGCCATTTCCACATTACAACATTAAAGTGACAAATACCTAAATTATAAATTGACACTTAGAAACTACCTACAATTCGGCATCAATCGTAATTCGGAAATGGCAAACGGTATCTAACAGATTTGTGTTTTGCCATTTCTAAATTACGATATAAAGTGACACATGTATAATAAATTGACACTTAGAAACTACCTACAATTCGGCATCAATCGTAATTCGGAAATGGCAAACGGTATCTACCAGATATGTGTTTTGCCATTTCTAAATTACGATATAAAGTGACACATGTATAATAAATTGACACTTAGAAAGTACCTACAATTCGGCAACAATTCGGAAATGGCAAACGGCATCTCCCAGATATGTGTTTTGCCATTTCTAAATTACAATATTATAGTGACACATATATAAGAAATTGACACTTAGAAGCTACCTACAATTCGGAATCAATCGTAATTCGGAAATGGCAAACAGCATCCCCTAGGTATGTCTTTTGCCATGTCTAAATTACGATATTAACGTGATACATATATAATAAATTGACGCTTAGCAACTACCTACAATACTAAACACTTATTTATTGTCTAAAAAAATGACCTTTAATAAAATATCCTACAAAAATATCACCACAGACATAAATCAATAGTCACAGTCTTCGAGTTAAATAAGTAACGCCACTAACTATGCAGTTGCGTTTAAGTATTTAAAAATAACATCAAAAAGAGGTCTTATTAAAATAAGACCTCTTTTATCGTTAAACTTTTAGTAGTAAAGTTTTTAATAGACTAGGTCTACAAGTTGGTACTTTATACTCTATCCTTACTTTTATTTTCGTTTTCAGTTTGCCAGTAATTTGATGATGACACAGGATATAATATTCCTAGGCGGGAGTTGTCTTAAAAATACTATTTGTAACCATCGATGTACAATCATCGATAGTACAATTAATTGATATTTATATATTTTTCTTATTGCTCATCTTAAGGTTAAATTGTATGAACTCTGTCATGGTTACGTTCTCGAGTAATAGTCAAAAAGAAAATAAAGGCATGGACAGATTAGAGTCATTATTATACTACAATAAAAAACTTATGGGACAGATATCAGTTGCCTATTTTTTTTTTTATTGCAATCAGTTAATCTTTCTCGACTCAATTTTTTTCTAACAAAATAACTTGAATACTGTAAGAGAGTTGTATAGTATAATGGTATATTACGACTTGTGCTGTAATTAGTAATTCTTTATAATGAATGTGTACGAAATGTAGCATCTCATTTGGTCCTCGAGTCCATGAGGCCTTAGCGTAAAATACATTTTATACCAGAAAAATATGTGGAAGTCTACACTCACATATAATACTCTTAAGTTCTATTTTTAGAGAGAGTTTGTAAACATTTATGAATGAATTGTATAAAATATTTAACTTACATTAAATTTTGAGTCATGTATTTAATCCAACAGGAAATGTCAAAGTAATAAAAAAATAAACGGAATATAAAAAAAAACTACATATATGTACTTTGGTTACATGTACGTAAAAGTTACTTTTTTGGTCCAGATTGCTCTGATATCTTAACTTGAGCCAACAGAGGCCTTATGTTACTAACAATATCGTTTCGATTTTCAAACTGTTCAATATCGAAGCCGTGGTACGTGCCCAAGTCGCGGCACTTTTGTATATATGCCCTCCATTTGACGTCCTTTTCTAAGCAAAGCGGATTTCCTATCACGATTACTTTTGCCTTTGCTCTTGTAATAGCTACGTTGAAACGCTGAAATGGTAAAAGTAATATAATTAAATTTCCCTGTTTAAATGGAATTTTATTATTCAATTTCGGGCAGTGATATCTACAGTTAACCGCTTACTTGCTAATTGAGTGCTTATATAGTTATTTTATTTTCTTTCGGGTCGAAGCAATGTATATTCCCCTCCTTGAGATTTTACTGCTTATTACCATTCCATACCTGTAATATATTCTGTTTCACCCTTTCTTCTATTAAAAGAAATAAATGCTTAATGTTACCTTATCATCGACGAGGAAGCCCAGCTGGAACTTCGCATCGTAATCAAGGAGGCTGCAATTGGCGCGGACCGTGGATATTATAATGACTCGCTTCTCTTTGCCTTGGAAAGCTTCCACGGTGCCTACCTCGATCTTCTCGTACCTAAGCTCTCTTAGCATTTTGTTAATCGTATACACCTAAAAGAATTGCACATATTAGTTTCTGAATACGAATCCAACATTTTAAATTTAAATCTAAGTTGAGCGTAATTTGCTTCTGAAAATAAGCCTTATCGACTTCGAACATCGCACTTATCCCTAGGTGGGCGAAATCTCACAATAAACGACAATAAACACTCAGGAAAAACGGTGTTATTTTTACATTTTGTTAAACACCTAGGCCCTACCTGAAAAGAATCCTTTTAGAAGGTAATCATTGAAAATAAAAACAAAAATAACAAAAACCCGACTGCGTGAAACTATGTGTGAAAATGTTTGTTAAAATATTTTAAATTGGCAATTTTAATTTTTCTAATTTTCATATATCGATTGTCACTTTCACAATTCAGACGAATTTAACGGCAGCGGCAACTCAAAAGCCCAAATCCATCAAGCCTACAGGCTACAGAGCGTGCCAAAGAAATATACATAGACTAGCTTTTGTCCGCGGCTCCGGCCACGTGTATATCGATTATCGCGGAAAAAGTATGTGTATGTCCTGTATAAAGATTTCTCGAATAAAAACTATCCTATGTCCTTTCCCGAGACTCAAACTATTTCTATACCAAATTTTATCTAAGTCGGTTCAGCAGTTTAAGCTTGAAGAGAATATTTATATGTATATGCGGCGATTAATGACTGAAATTATACCTTACCTGTCTTATATACGGTGTTACGATACCTATATCTTCTAATAGCACCTTGTGTTTCTTCACTAAGGCTTGTACATAGAGCTTTACTATTTCACACTCCATGTTGTTGAAAAAACTGGAAATAAACGCAATGGTAAAAGGATTTATACATTAGTCGAGTATTATTTAAATTGAATAATTAAATTTAACACTGGACACTTCGCATCCAACTCATCCCAGCTATCTTCCAAAATGGAATGTTTATTTATTTTTTTGTTACGATAGTCAATAATTACTTTCTAGAGAACGTCGGGTACATAAGAAACGGTCTATTATATTGATTGTATTAGGTGACTTACCTTGGGGACTTTCCATTCTTCTGTTCTTTCGATAATATGCCGTAGAACACTGTAGCGTGACTGTGTGATCTTTCGCCCAATATATCGACATTGCTTAAATTATCTTTCTTTGCCAATGCCTGTCAATGAACGTTTTATATTTTAATTTGGTTATAGTTTGTAGTAAGTACTGTAAAAACTTTTAAATTCTTTCACTCGAGACGTTTTAAGTATATGGGCATTTATAAGAATAATAGATAACTTTAGAAAAACAGCGAGAAAGTTGTGATACTTACCCTTAATTGTCCTTTATAGAACAATTTATCAGGTATGTCGATAATTTCCTTGTCGGATCTAAAGTTGTTCCGAAGCATAACCGTGTAATTGGGATTGTAATTTTCCATGTTGTATATTGGGCATGTGTTTTTCAGACGCTCCATAAGCGAAATACCTAAAAACATTAATTTATCTTGTTATTGCGTAATAAATTCAATAATTTCTTTTACACAAAATTTGGACAGTGAGTTTAGGATTCATTTAGATAATATTAATCAGTCAATGGAGAAACTCAAATAGATACCTATGTGTTAGGTACATTAATTTTCAATTTAATTTAATTGAAAATTAATGTACCTATTAATAAGTGTAGGTACATTAATTTTCAATTAAATTGAAACATTTCATGAAATAAAATACTAAATGATAATATACACACTATAATTTCATTTAACCGTTAAGTAACAAATAAAAAACGTTCTAAAGTTTTATCCAGTGGATATGTGGCATTAAAATGTTTTATACTACGAGTAGTAAAACGCTAGACATTTTATTTATTCGCCGAGACGTCGTGTCGGAGGAGAAGCGTAAATTATTGCAATATACCTAAATTTAAATTTCATTCTTAGAAAATAATTTTCACTGACTTATCAACGTACGGCTTGCTTTTTTACAAATACTCGTAGTGGAACAGATAAACAAAAAACTGAAATTTTCGTAATTAATCACTAAACGTATGGATCGAAACAAAAAAAATTGGAGTATTGTTTTTATAATTAGATGCGTGGAGCAATATACGCCATATACGGTAAGCGATGGACTCACCCAGGCCAATGTCGCGGGCGGCGTGCGAGATGATGACGGGCCCGAGCTGGTGCGGGTCGCCGGCCAGCACGAGCTGCCCGCTCGGCGCCAGCAGCCCGCCCGCGGGGATGAGGCAGGCCGGCTCGCTCGCCTGCGCCGCCTCGTCGATGAACAGGTGCGTCACGGGCCGCTGCTTCTTTCTCGTAGACAGTTGCCTATCATTCATATACATTTGTTATCTAATAATTATGTGGAAGTGAGTTTGTCTACAGATAGTCGGGATGTTTGTCAGGGTTACTGAAACTTTTTCTAGAAAAAAGTGCTATTAACGAGCGACACCTGTTTCATCATCATCGACAGCCTTTAACAGTCCACTGCTAGATATAGGTCTCTCCTTAGAAAGGAGGTTTTAGCCTACTATACCAGATCGGTATAAGGTTGTTTCGAGTTATGTCGGGGTACCAGGGACTTCCTTTCTAGGGTATACCTGGTTCCCCCGCTATTAGTACCCGAGATGGCGTGCGGTTTTAGTCGGTTCGAGTCCGACATGCCGACAGGTGGTATCCAAGGGGAATTCCGCACGGAAAAAAAAAATAAAAAAAATAAAGGGTTGTTTCGAGTTTCCTCCTTTTTAGACGTCTGATTGGTTTAAAAATATTTACATTCACATAAGTGAAGTCAAGCGAATATGAGATAAATTCGTAACTTTATTGTTAACTTCATAAAAGTATGTTTTTAGATATTTTTTAATAATAATAATAATTTATATAACATTCTGATTCAACATGAAAAACAGATATGAAATATTTTAAAACTACATTTTACCTGCCAAATTTCGCAGAATGAGACAGTGTTGTGATCACAATGTTGTAGCTCATAAACTCCTCTATAGACACCGGCTTGAAATCATCTCGATTAGTGCCATTGGAGTATTCCTTCAGGCATTCTGGTAGCGTTTCCCTGAAAATTTTAATGCATCACATGAGAAGTATAATATATATAAATAGGCTACTTTAAAAAAAATATTAAACGAATACACCGCAGAAATGATAAAAAGTTAGCTGATTTAACTAGCAGTTGTGAATAAGTCTTTAAAACTTACCACACTCTAAACTTGGAGTTAGCACGTAGGAGTAGTTTCTCTTGAGCGAATAAGTGCGAATATTTAATGAGCATAGTGGCCACGTGGTCCGCTGCCATATTTGAGTCCGTGCACACTAAGATACGGTTCCGCGGGTTCTTATTTACCAGCTGAAAAAGAAAGATAACAATACCTATTAAAATATCTCGTTAACAGAATTACATTATCATGAAACGCAATGGTTTAAAAAAAATTCTAAGTGTCTGTACAGACTTATAAAATCTTGCTTGTGTTTTTGCAATAGTTTTATTAGTTAGTCGACTGCTAGGATCCTATGCTGAGCTAATATCACTTGCCTGCAGTATAGCTTCGACGATGGTGACAGTCTTGCCAGTCCCGGGCGGGCCGTGCAGCAAGTACGGCGCGGTCCCACTCGTGCCAGCCACTATGTGCTCTACCGCTATACGCTGTTCGTGATTTTCGGACACTAGCGTATTATAAAACCTGTAGAACAATTATATACGTATATGAGTTATTTGGTGTACTGAATTCCACAAATATTTATTTTCTAATGGAGCACGCTTATGGAAGAAGCCGCCGAGACAAAAGCAAAGTAATATTATAAGTGTGAAATTTAGTTTGTTCCTTTGTTATGCTTTAAGAATTACTCAACTAATCATGTAAGTCAGAAAACTATATAGGGTACCTTTCATCTAGAGAAAGTGCTGTTCCGTGAAGTTCGAGAGGATACCTGAATTGATTGACAACATTCTACATTCACGCGAGCGAGACGAGAGCAAAAATTACTTCATAATTTAAACCAATTGGGAATAAAATAATGGGAACTTACTCGAGTGTTGGTTTTGTATATTGCATGTCTGACCGAATGTTTGGGAAAATCCGTTGCACTAAACCCTGGCCGGTGGTATTATGCACGGCCACGTGCATGCGCTCTAGTGGTAGACGCGATGTGAAGAATCGAATGTCAAACTTCGCAACATTGCTGTAGAAACTTGAAAACCTGTAACACAGAGTTTAATATAATTAATCTATACATATAAAATTACTTCCCCTGACTAACGTAGTCAATCGCTGGGGCTACAAACTTGACGTTTTTTCAGCTGATGCTTTTTATAAATTTCACACATCGGGTTAAATAAGAAATCTATTCTAGTCTATTCTAGTCTATTCTTGTTATATTATTATACTAGCTGGTACCTGGACCCAGAAATTTCTTAAAGGGTTTTTCTGAGAGGAAAAATAGACTAAGTAACTTTTTATATAGACCCTACCTGGCTACCTGGTAGTAAAATGTTATTAAAATCGGTCCAACCGTTTAGAAGATTACCAGGAACAAACAGACTGACAGCCAAAAAATAAATAAACTGGTTTTTAGGCATATGTATCGTGCAAATAACTATGTGAGCATAAAAAACCTATTATTTTGACATTACAAACAGACATGTCAATTTTATTTATTTGTATAGAAGAAGATAACAATAATAAGGCCCTGCATGACTTTATCGACGCGTATAAATAATGCTCATGAAGCTGGTCCCTTGTCCTTTACAAAACTATGGACCAGCAGTAAACATAAAACACCCAAACAAGTAATGATTACTATATAAAATGTAGTAAAATAAATTACATTCCGCTCAGCTACTGACCGCAGTTGACTGTACTATCTCACGTTATAGTTCCGATTCTGTTGTTATAAAAGTTATTAATGAGACTTTAAATGAAATGTTTGTACGGTGGTAAGGACATGGAAGTTATCTGAGGCAGTATATAATCACAACTGTCTAAATCGACCTAAGTAATCAAAGTTAGTGCTTATTAACTTAAATGAGATCTACAATGAATCGCTTAATTTATATGACAATACTAGATGAATATTAAAAGATATTACACACTGTTAAAAACTAGAAAACTTACGAGGGATCAAATTTTCCAATTAACGCTTTTTCCTCGTTGATTTCAATAATCAAAGCTTCAAACATCACCTCTTCAGTGTCATGTGGCCTAACAAACATCGAATCTCCTGAAAATACAAATACACAAATTAAAATAGTAGTAATTAAAAAGAAAAAGAATAATATTCATATACGTATGCCATCAACTAAAAAATAATTTATTTTCCAATTGCTTTAATTAAAGCATTTTGACAGAAGGCCATACTACTATTTTTATAATGTAATACTTATATTTTCTAATCCATTTTTATTGTTAACTGAGGGAAAATAATATAAATTGTTTTTTTTGTATGCTAGCTAATTGAGTTTATACAAATTCAATTTTACCGTGACTTGACATTTATATCTCGTATGTTTAAAATTCAAAGAGAAGGAAAATTTGAAACAAACCCTGTATCAACCCATCTGGTCAGGCCAAATACTCCTTTCTAAGAAGAGGCATATGTCCAGCAGTGGATTGTTAAAGGCTGACGATGATGCTTAAAATGAAGAAGAAAGGGCCTTAAAATTGACGCATGTCTAAGTTTAAAGATATAAAGGTGGATTTGGATATTGCAAAACAACACTCGATATATCGCCAAAAGAAGTTCATTTTACACCTTAGAAAAAATGGAAGACCCGAAAACATTGATTAGATAAAAAGTGCAGCCGAAGACCAACAGTTTTTTCAAATGCAGAGGATAAATTTATAACAATAACGTCTGAGCTTATCATTGGTTTACATCACAAGATATCGCTCAGGAGTTAAATGAACCGGTAGTGTCTTTGTTACCACTGAAGATTCAATTTTTAGTAGCTTATTTTCTAGGTATTGTAGCTGTATAGAATCTATCACTCGGTTATTCATATGACATGTATTACATAAACTAAAATTAAAGTACACATGTTTTATTTTTAAATACCCAATTACTTATAGGAATTTAATGTGATAATTCCTAAAATGTGTTTTTTGTTTAATTGTGACTATTATCCCTTTCCTTAGACTGTCTTTTCTTTCTAGCAACCCTACCATTTCCACGTAAATTTCCAATTTTCCTAGCTGTCATTCCCGCAGTGTGGTAACAATAGCCCCCTATTAGGTACGTTGGTGGCACCCAAATTATAGTTAAATAAATAATAATAATAATATTTTCACACATCTCACACACAGCGTTCTGATCTCAAACTAGGCAGAACCAGTACTATGGTAACCAGACTGATTATAAACATACTTATATATTTCTAAATATATACTATACATACATATTATAGATAACTTACACCCAGACACAAAACACGATCGTGCTCATCACACAATTAATTGTCCTTGGTGGGAATCGAACCAACGACCTCTGGCGTAGCAGTCAGGGTCCCTAACCACTAGACCAACAGGCCAGTCGAAATGATGGTGTTTCATACGTCTCTTTCACATCTATTAAATAATAAAGCATTTACCTACATATTTACATAAGAAAGCCATGCCCAAAGACAACTTCCGCAATAGGAATATATTCTGTGTCGCAGGGGACTTAACACACATACGTGAAACGCACAAAGAGCACCCAGACTCAAAACAACAATTTGTGAATCACACAAAGTGTCGTCGCATGTGGGGATCGGATCCACAACACTCAGCGTACTAGTAAGCGATGTGACGACCGCTTAAACCACTACGCCATTCATGCAGTCCTAGTTAATTCTGGGGAAGGTTAGAATGGGAGGCAACGCAGTTGTGATGTTGTAGTTGTCGATGAGCGATAGCAGTCATTTAAAATCACGTAAACCGTCTGCTAGTTTTTCCTCCTGTCTTACAAAAGAATATTTGCTATTTTTGATACCTAAACTGAAGTATAATGTAAACTCGGTTCCAAAAATAACGGGTCAGTCACATAAACCCGAATATCTCCCGAACTACGTATGCCATCCTAATGAAACGAAGACTGTTCAAATGAGAATTTAATTATTCAGATAAAAAATAGAATAAAACTTAAATCTAAACTCTCTAACTCTTAACTTATCTCTAAATTAAAAAAAAAACTAAAGTAGTCATATTTTTCTTAAGATTACATTTTTTTATGATGGTTTTTTTGCTGTTTTGCATCACTTTCTTCATTTAATACTTTGTATTGCCTCCACGAGCTCTTCTGACAGCTTCCAGGCGATTAGGCATGCTGTACACCAAATTTCGGAGCCGATGCTCAGGAATACCTTCCCATTCCTCCACCAGTGCTTGTTTGAGCTCGGGAAGCGTGATTGGTGGGGGGTTTCGACCTTTCACGCATCTCTGAAGCTCGTCCCAGGCGTGCTCGATGGGGTTTAAGTCCGGGCTTTGCGCTGGCCACTGCATGAGGTCGATACCGACCTCTTCAAGGTAGTCATGTACAATTCTGGCGGTATGGGGACGCGCATTATCATGCATTAATATGCCATGCCGGTCCATTCTGGCCATGAAAGGACCTACATGTTCATTGAGGATCTCTTCCACGTACCTCTCTGCATTTAGAGTTCCATTTTGAATGAGTACCAGCTCGGTGCGGGCCTCAGTAGAAGTCCCAGCCCAAACTTGTACGGAGCCTCCACCGTACGCCACTTTTTCCTCCACACACGCTTGATGGAAGCGCTCCCCTGGTCTTCTGTACACCAACTGCCTACCATCATGCTTATAAAGCATGAATTTAGACTCGTCCGTGAACATTACCCTAGACCAATCTTCTAGTGTCCAGTTTAGGTGCTCGCGCACGTATCTCTGTCTTGCAATTTGATGTTCCCGTTCCAGTTTGGGGCCATTTGCGGGCCTCAATGGTTTCAAATTTGCTTCAGCAAAGACATCTTCTTACTGTTTGAGCGCTTAAATTGCTACCTCCAAAGCGAATAAAGTGAGTTTTTAGACCAACAGCAGTTTGAAAACGATTTCGGAGCATTGTAGCCACCAGTTGTCTGTATTCCCTGGCCGTTGTGCATCTTGGTCTGCCATTTCCTGGTCTTCTAAGGTGTGATCTGGTCTCTTGGTACCGCTGGACTACCCGCTGAACAGTCAACAAAGATACACCAATGTTTCTGGCTGTTTCACGCTGGCTCCGCCCAAGTTCCAAAAAAGTTAGGATTCTGGTACATTCCTCTAGCGTGACTGCCATGCTTCACCTCACAGAATAATAATTAAGCACGTGGAAGACGTTCTCGATAATTTTTTTTGTGATAGAATAGAAATGGAAAGCATCTATAATAAAATGAAACAAAAAATTTGTTTTTAAAATAGTCATTTTTTTTTATTTTGTTTTTCTAATTAAGTTTTTTCATCAACCAGTTTAAATAATATGCTATTAGAAGCGCAACTAAAAAGTCTTTATTCTGTTTTTTATTTCATTGATCTAACTTTTACAGTTCTGGAGGTATTTCAATTTTTGTGACTGACCCGTAATTTTTCGAACCGAGTGTATATACTCACCAATCATCAGCGACGGACGTTTCTCGGCCAGTCCTGGCACACGAAGCTCGTAGACTTTACCGACTTGTCGAAGGTTTACTCCAGACATATTGTATTTCTACAAATTAAGTTACATTTTATAATTAGTATTTTAATAAAAATGCAAGAATTAGTGTAATTAGGAATTTTTACTGCGGCACATATTAATTTAATAAATTTTCTCAATGAAATTTATCAAAACTATGAGATCATTGCAAGCTAACCACACTTATTATGAAAATAGATAATTATTGAGTACAGAAATAAGAAGATCAACTTTATGAAGTTACTTGGATGCGATGGAAATGGAAACACGAGGGCGTTTAGAGTAAAGTTACATTATATTTTACAATTACGAACCTTTACGTTAACTCTTACGACTGATTCTTCATACCACAGTAGATTGTGGAAGAACTTTTCATAGTTTTCTTGGGTTACACCCGTTTCGAACACTTTTCTGAAAAAGAGTATATGTAGTCCATTTAATTTATACTTGCAACTATAATAAAATTTAATATATTATTAAGAATCACATCAGGGACAACAGAAGAATTGTTTAACAATCCATACTTATATTACAAATATGAACGTGAGCTTGTTTACCGGTTTGTTTGGTTTGCTTTCTCGCCTAAACCACTGTACCGATTTAAAAAAATATTTCACCAATGGAGAAGCGAGTAACATAGGCTACTTTTTACCGCGATAACCGACAAACGGCCGGAGCCAAACCTAGTACTTGTTATAAATTTTAATATTTTGCATAAACAGCTACAAAGGACATCATTCACGCTCCATACAAAAAGTACCAAAAAAAAGAGTGCCGGCCAACGAAAAAAAAAATGGTTTTATCGGTTAGAGAATGACATTCTAAGATTTTTCTTTAGACGGCTAAGAGCTAAGACCGATTACTTTTGAGTTATATGACTTAGAAATAATAAAAAAATGCATTTATACTAGTTCGTCTGAACAATTTTTACTTCATTACTATAGCAAAAATCAAATAATGATGATAAAGAATAACTTAATATCGTTTAATAATAATATAATATGACAAAAAGCCTAATTATATACAATCATCATTAGGTACCTAAGTACCTACGTAGGTATTTATGTGTAGGTATTAGTGTTATAAAATATGGTAAAGAAAAAGACTTCATTTCGTTACCTACGTGGCTTTATTCATATGTTATAATTCCGCAGGTCTTACGATAACATTTTCTAAACCTAATGCAAGTGGATTTATGGGAGGTTGTTGGTGCCTCGCGAACGTCATGTACCACACTATGCACATAGTGTGGGAACAGCAGCCCACCGTTCTTTTGCCAACATTGCATGAGCAATAATAATACGGTATGGCATCACGGCCACTCAATGATGTGTCGATGCTAATGTAAACATAATATACTCTGGCCCGAACATGGCGAGATTGTACTCTTCCTCTAATAATTATTATGTTTTCTCCCAATTCTCTGACGTGTTCTGTTAAAAGTCTGTCGCCAAGCTCGACCGTAAAAACACCATTTGGATTGATGTGCTCGCCGTAATAGCTTTTAGCTTGTTTTATTTGATAAATACCCAACTTAATAATATTAAATCCTCTTCTGAGAGCCTTGGAAAATCATCGAACTCGGGCATATCGGCGGACATCGGCTGAAATTGTGCTCGTCTTCTATTATAATTATGCCTTACAACTATATCAGCCAGCGTGTTAGGGATTGGCATTCTATGGTTCATTATGGCCAAAAAGGTTTGGTCATGAATATTGTCATTTATTAGTATATGGTATGCATTAATTATAGCAGCCGCTATCTTAAAACAATCGAACATGTGAGGAAGAGCACGATTTATATTGACATGTCTCAAAAATCTAAAATCCCGTTTAAAACGCCCATTAACTACCTCCACAACCCACTGACAGATAGTAACAAGGCGAGTTTTATTTGCTTGCATCGTTGTCAGCTGGGTTTCATTTCGGAGCTTGGCTATTTTGGGATATTCTGCACATATGCCTGAGCATATGTGCAGAATATCCCAGTGACTCCATTGGTGATATGGCATCTCTGAAGCCGCGATCCAAAATAAATAGGTACATCACCTTGTCTAAAAAACCAATTAAAAATACCATCGCCGTTGTCAGTTTCATTAGGTTTAATTGTTTAGGTTTTTAATTACTCAGAAATAGTTAATTGATACATAAATGTAAATGCTCATTTTATGATTTTCGGAGATCCATTTTGGGTCTAAGAGTTGGTCGTAGACGTTTGTTGTAATAATAAAAAATGTTTAAAATATCATTTGCCGTAAGATGACAAAGTTTTTTTTTTACTGGCCGGCACTTTAATTTTTGGGTACATTTTTAATGATGTCCTTTCTAGTATCATAGTATATGTTGATCTGTCAGCTTATTTGATGACAGTTCAAGTTATACTGGTGATCAATACAAACATTCAATTTGAGGAATAATTGAATAATGGTCGAAATCCGACTACCAAGCGTTCGTCATCATATCATGCAAAAGTTGTGAAGGAATCAAAATAGGCGACCAGACGATATCCCTTTATCTCTTATGCTCAGTTGTCAGACAAACAACTCATTACACTAATATAACACATTAAATACATACAAATACATTATAATAAGTATTGTTTAAAATAAGTAACCAACCTAATATCAGATGTTAAAATCTTGGTTTGTTCGTCATGCCTTTCATTCACCTGTAGGCCGCTAAGATAGATCGTTTTGTTGTTTTTCGGAACAAGGAATAAACCTTTACTTTTTCTGCAAAAAAATATATTTTATAGTATGTGTGATGTGGTATTTTGGGTGAGTAGAGAAATTATTGTCAGTGTGGTGACGGATTAAGTATAAGGAGTGTCACCACCGCTATACATCCCGTGTCGTAAGAGGCGAGTAAGGGAGCACACTATGCAGGATAACAGCACTGCAAAGAGAAGGAAAACCTGTCACAAACCATACCTCACGCGTCTGGCCAGCGTGGTATTGTAGGCAAAAACTTCCTTTCTAATTACAGGCATATGTCCAGTAGTGGACTATTAAAGGCTGTAGATGGGAAAAATTTGATAAACTTATATCTGTACATTTCTTGTGGGTAGGGACTGAGATATGGTTAACTGAATATAGCTGTTTAAAATTAAAATTGAATTCTATATAAATAATTAGGCTCATCTTCGGCACTAGCATAAGGATGTTGATACTCACTCTGCTCCAGGACTTCTTAGTAATACATTTGCCTTAACTTCTTTACAAGCATACGGGCTTATCATTTTTTCGTGTACGGCTTTGTTTTGTTCCACAAACACCACCTACAGAACAAAAAACACACTAAGAATTAAGTTTGTTATTTATTTTATACAACGGCTTGTAATTAGAAGTTATGCTGCTTTAATTACATTACTTGTTAAGTGATAAGTACAATACGTGTTGTATATTTTGATGCGGACAGATCATTTATAATAAGCCATGTATTGGCATTCAACAAGTTCGACACATAAATGAACATTACATTACTTTTAATAAAAATAATAACAAAAGTATTTATACGGTCTAGTAATTTTCGCGGGGATTCCCAGTTATTTACGAAGGGATTCCCCATATCAGTGAGCTTATCTTAAAATAACTATATTATTTAATTACACTAAATTTTATTGTAATGGCTCTTTGGGATAGCTGAACTAAAGCTTACGGGTTTGCTGACACGTTTTAGAAAATCTTTTGAAATGGCCAAGATGTAACCCTGAACTACTACTTTTTTATGGCTACACGGAACTGCGGGGGGCACTAGTTTTTGTTATATCTACTACTCACGGATCATATGACCAGAAGGCCAATTCTCGTAATAAAAGTTCGGTCACAATTCAGGTCCGACCAACTTTCGATCGAAGGTATTTTCGTATTAAAATAATAAAGTATTACTATTCTAGAATAGTAAGACCAGCAGATTACCGATTTAATCCTCGATCACAATATGATATAATCACATTACAGACAACGTTGGATGTTTAATACTTTACTACCAAAATACCTTTTATGTCAGTTTTGAGATTAAAAGTTGATCGCAACTGGATTGAGACCGAACTTTTATTACGAGAATTGGCAGTCAGCACCGCGAGGATAAATATTGTGCTGCATTATACTGTATTACTTATTTTTGCCTAGATTATTTCTTTCTTCTTTCTTTCTTTTACCTAGTTGTACTATCGGGGCTGACTATCTAGAAGTTGTTACAATGAACTTTGAAGGTGGCGAAAACATCGATAAGCTTTTTTCTTCGTATTTTGCACCAGATACATCTAGGTTTAGGTTGTAGAGGTAGAGAGGGGACTTGACTATAACAAGAATCAGCACTTAAAAGCTTAAAATAGTTTCCACTTTAACTCAATATTTTTTAAAGACCAATTCAACGTACACTAGGATACCCTAAACATTTTTTTATTTAAACGCTTTCTCTGCGTGTTTAATGTACCTACTCGTATATACCCATGTAAAATTACAGCTTTCTTCTACGAACAATCCCTAATTTAAATCACGAACGGACGGACATGGTGAAACTATAAATACTCTTTGTTAGGACTTCTGAACTCTATTTCGTTGTGACAATATTATAAAAAAAAAAAATTATTGTTTACAGCAGTTACACAATAAACTATTTAGTGTAAGTATTTACAGAATACATAATGACAACCAACAGAAAGGACCCCCACAGGCTTAACCAGGTGGTTAAGCCTGTGGGGTCCAAGAAGTTTCTTTTGTGAGACTACGTCTCATATAGACAGGTCTTTATATGACACAGTCGTGAGTGTGGAGGTCATTTCCTTATTCAGTATAAAAACGCACGCGGAACACCGTTGGGCGTTGCGTCATCGATTACAAGTCTTCGTGTTTTTGCTCGGCAACGAAAGAGTGTTCAGGGATTCCCTGAAATAACTTATTGTTGCTTACTCACTCTAAAGCGGGGATTTATAAATAAATAAAAAAATAAAAAATCATTTATTGAAAATAAAGAACAATAAAACAAATCTACAACAAAATTCCATACTTTCAGAGTAGCACAGTCTATATATTTTTACAGAATATGTAGACATGTAAATTAATATGCATTCATCAAAAAGGCTAAGTGAAAAGTAAGCAATTCAAACATTACACATGGCGCGATCAACCAGTTTGCACAACACCACTTCCAGTCAGCCACACAAGCAACCCAGGAAGTGTAGATCTATATTGGTGTCCAAATGTGTCGATTGATGCGTATATGATAAAAGATAGCAATTATTCTTTAACAGGTATATAATATTCTTGAATAGTTTGTCAATGGACATTGGAATGTAAAACTGAAGGTCATCCCATCCCTAAATAAGTTAAAAATAACTAGGTTTCATATAACTTGTTATGATTGTACGAATGGCATGCCTAATGGCATGTTCATTAAGGTTATATTTATATGCGATGCAAAGGGGGGGTTTTTGCAGTCTTGGCCGCCCTAGGCCCCAGGCCATCAACCGCCCCTTTCGCAGCACCCGTCATATAGACTACATAATGAATTTACTTTATAGCCAACTTTTATCGAAACCAGATCTATGGATAAATTGCACGTTTAAATAAAATGTCATAAGAATGCCCAATCTAGTTGAAGGAACACATTACACGTGTTTTAACTAACAATGGATTGAACTCAGCGCTAAGGACGTCTAATGTAAAAAATATCTTATACTTACATTGTAGAATACAATGTAAGTATAAGATATTTTTTACATTAGACATTATCATACATATCATCAATCATCAACAGCCTTTAATAGTGCACTGCTGAATATAGGCCTCTCCTTAGAAAGGAGGTTTGGAGGTTTTGGCATCCGTGAGGTGGCGGATTAATAATAGGGAGCGTCACCACCCCTATTCATCCCGTGCGTGTCGTAAGAGTTGGCTAAGGGAGCAAATTACGCAGGACAACAGCGCTACGAAGAGAAAGAAAGCTTGAAACAAATCCTATACCAACCCGTCTGGCCAACGTGGTATAGTAGTATCCTTTCTAAGGAGAGGCCTATGACCAGCAGTGGACTATTGATATTATGATATTTTTTGTCACGATCAGCCGACGCTAATATCTGGCCGCCCTAGGCCCGGGCCTTAGAGGAAATCCACCACTGGCGATGTATAAATGTTTATATTAAAGACTCCTAAGCAAAATGTAAAGTGAGAAGTTACGACCTGTAGCCCAAGTGTAAGTTTATTTCACTTCTACTCGATCGTCACGGTAACGTATCGCGGTCAGTTAGGTGCTGCGATTGGCCCCCACTGAAATCGTCACCAATCATGACGCCAAAACCGCTCGCCGTCGAGAGCGAGTTCTTTAATACTAGGAATTCATAAAAGTTGATAAAATTGTTTTAGTTCAATAACGGCTTCGTATACATACATAATACTACACTGTACCTTTAACATTTGCAAAATGCCTACAACCTGTACATTTTATTTGTTTTATTAGAACCCTATACACATTTTAGAGTTATGTCGTAAATAATTTTATGCTGTAACTAAGTATAGAAATTATCGTCATCTATTTATTTAACCTTTTTACCCTTTTTATAGTTGTGTAAAAGGGTCTGAATAAAACAGGTTTCATGCTGCAGATGGTGTTATTCTTAGTCCTCATCTTTCTGGTGGTATCCGAGGGGATTTCCGCACGGACAAAAAAAAATAGTTACAAACTCAAAATATATATTATTAATCTATTATTTGATTATTTCTTTATACTTTACGTGGCATAGCAGCGCATGGCAGGATCAGTTAGTAAATTATAAAAGGAAGCCTGACGACAGCGACAATCGGTACGGTGTCGAGCGATCACCACCTGTATCGAGAACGTAAAAACATCTCTATATTACTACACGCGACCTACTCTGCACTTTTGGCATAAAGCTACATACAATTATACTGCCGGCTCAAATTATCATACGAAATTCAGTGGGTTGCCGCGTGACGGCTGAAGTGTATAACGCGCCTTATCGTGCTCCGTCCGTTCGTATATACCTACCTAGATTATCAAATTAGTTAGAATCTTATGTAGGGTAATTTGAAACCTTGTTTAAAATAATGTAATAGGAACAACGTACTGGCAAGTAAAGATTAATAATTCTTCCAAAGAACACTAACTTAACATCTTCTGTTTAAATAGTAACTGTATGTAGTAAATAGTAGTAAATTAAATAGTAACTGCGGTTATTTATGATATTGGATAAAGGGTTAAATACAATATGATCATCATACTGAGGATGAGGAAACTAGGTTAGTGTCGGCATTCGGTCCACTATGACACGGCTGTACTTCGATTCTTTACTTGGAGTGACTGCCATCAGATCTCCACCACCAAAGTACAAAGCGATATCAAAGTTCTGTAGATAGACTGTTGTTGGACTTTTAAGGGCTCCAACTACCCGTAACGATTGCCACAGATGTTCGTATATATGTAAGGGGGTACTATAGTGAGTCTTTTTACCTTAGTGTGCGGGTGTTCAACACTAACTCCTCAAAATCATTATGTATTCTGTGGTAAATGATGCCATTTACCAGTGGGTGGTTTACTAAATAGAAAAGTACAAATACTCACCATATCTCTTATTATAGTAATCTTCTCGTTTGTATTACGCTTCAAGAAGTGGAACACAATAGGAGTCTCATACTGTCCTATATTAGGTGAACCGAATGTCACGTTGAGGTTCTGCAGTAGCTTATTTTCTAAAACAAAATGTATTATTCACAAATTAAACTGAAACTCTCTGTTTAACGTGTGTTTGGTACTCGTTCATAGAAAAATAAATGCGTTCCAAACAGGTCGTGCGAATTCAAACTCTGAAAGCGGCAGCCTATTTTATACATATACATAGGTAATAGATGAGTTATTTAAATGATAGGTCATTTTCAGTAAAAAAAATCGGGAAATTTTAGTAATTGACATTGACTTAAAAAGTGAAGATTGCATGCTGAATTCCTCATGTGAGAAGATTTACTCCTATTTTTTTTATGTCAGTTTTAACTTAATTTATATAACTCAAAGGTTTACTAATAACACTTTTTTTCCGTATCGTTAGCTCGTTTTATCGATTGAATCTTATCTAACGAAAAATCATATTTTTTGACTGATTAAATAAATCGCTCGCATTTGTAATGAAAAAGATACGAACGAATGAAATTAGTGAATAATCTTTACTCATACTACGCATTCTTTTTAAATAATTAATCACTAATACTAAATATTTAAAAAAATACTAAAATAGTAGACATCTATCTTATAGCATTAACAAAAGACCACTTAGGGAAATCCCCTTTTTTTCCGTGAGGGAAATCCCCTATGGATGAGTTTTCATAACAAGAATATGGATATTATCTGTAATATCAGATAAGCCACCCTTTTTTTTGTTGACGTGGTCGAAAATCGGAAAACGGTCTGTTTCTGGAGCATTACAGCTTTACAGAAAGAGACCACTGCGCTCGAGTCGTCCTCACCCGCCAGCATGGCAGCAATGAGCCAGTGCCTGTCGGTGAGCGTTCCACCGCATTTCGATCTCGTCCTGGTCTTCCCCACCCTCACCCCGACAAGTCTGGTCATAGACCCTCGCATCCATAAAAGACAGGATATCAAAAGACGGGAAACGTGTCAGGACTGTCGCCGCCTCCGACGAGATTGTGCGGTAACCTCGCACGATCCTAATGGCCGCTACCCGCTGCGCTTGATTGAGCTTAGCTCGGCAGCGGGAGGAGGCCGATAGGCGCTTGGCCCATTTCGGCGCTCCGTAGAGGGCCATTGATCGTATCACCGCACAGTAGAGGCGGCGAACTTCCTTCCGTGGACCCCCTAGATTAGGCAAATAGCCTCTATAGGGAGCCCGCCACCCTAAGCCAATTACAACACCTCTTTGTATTTGCTCCGTGGTTAGGACTGTATGGTCTACAGCTCTCTCAATTTCTGCTTAGTGGCCAGTGCCTTTTTCTTTTGATATATTCAGCCTGTCTTTTTTCAATTTCTTGCTTGAATCTCATTAGTTGTTAGCACTAGAGATCACAATCGATGATTTTGCCCATCGGTAAAAGCTAAGAATGAACGATGCCCTTCCAATCCCACAATACACACAGCATCACCTTATAACGTATTAATCCAGGTTTCACTACTCTGTGGAGCTTGTTCATTTAAAATACAGCTTTCCATAATCTACCAGAACTACTTTAAACTATTAAAGTTCATAATAATACTGATGGAATCCAAAACTACACCATTTTGTACACTTGCAGTATCACTTTTTTTTTATACATAATCTAATGCATATGCATACCCTATAAATATTGGTAACATGAAAAACATGTGACATAGTAATTGAACCTACAACTGCTCTAGCTCCTCAGAGAGAATAATTAACCACTAGGCCAACAGACTATACTTTCTTGGTTTTGAATAACATTTTTTTTTTTTTTTTGTGTACAAAAATGTGTCCAGTATAGTTTAAGATGGTCGAGATCTTTAAAGTCTACAGCAAATGTTTATGACACTGGCATAATATTTTTATTATGAATATAAGAAATTCATAAAGGGGCAATTCTGTTATAATTTAAACATAAAAATAAAAAAACTTACTCGGCAGTAGTATTTGTGGATTACTTCCATCTAAGTCTTGGTTGATCAAACAAAATTTATACTTTGTATGTAATATACCAGCAGAAATAACTTCAATTTCTTCTTTTTTGCTTTCATTCAATATCGTAAACTTGAAAGTAACCATCTCATTTGGCTTTGCCTGTTGAATATTTTGAAAATTAAATAATTTGCAATAAGCAAACTCAGCTATATACTAGCAACAATGACATTGACACAATGACACAGGACAAGATTTTTTTACTCAGAAACCAGAGTACACTTTTCAGTGGGATTTTGGTGCGCTGAATCCAAATCTTGCAGCAAAATGGCTCTATCGCGTCAGGTTTTTGAGATATTCTAACCTAAAATGTGCAAAAAACGCCATTTTTGAGGTGATATAACTCTTCAAACTTTATTATGCCTAAAAAAGTACACAGGGTATCTTAAAGTTCAAGTCTTCAGCTTTTAGATGACGTGGAGTTTGCTCAACTATCATTTTTTTTCACTGAGGTAGTAGTGAACAGGGTTTGCTTAGTTTGATTGGTTTGGAGGCGAAATAAAGCAAAATAAAAAAAACTTAAAGATGAATTTTTGTGTATTTTCTAGGCATAACAAAATTTGAAGGGTTACATAACCACATCGTAGGCCTCTCCTTAGAAAGGAGGTTTTGGTTTCTATACCACACTGGCCAGAAGGGTTGGTACAGGATTTGTTTCAAGTTTGCCTTCTCTTTGCAGTGCTGTTGTCCTAAGCAGTTTACTCCCTTAGTCGGCTCTTACGACACCCACGGGATGAATACCCCTATTCATCTGTGACACTATTTTCTTAATCCGTCACCATCAAAATGGGCAAAAATGTTTATTGCACTTTTAGGTTAGAATATCTCAAAAACCTGATGTGATAGAGCAATTCTGAGGCCGAATTTGGATTCAGCATACCATGAAAATATACTTTGGTTTCTGGCAAAGAAACTTTGTTAAATTTTGTTGACCTGTGTTATGAATTCAGGTGCACATAGTTAAAATTATTTTTATTCCAATGTTTTAACCTTAAGCTGGCCACACATGCTACAGTTTACAGGAGAGGTATACCTGTGCAGGTGTGTATGGCAACAGTCTGTGCACTTTTTGCTTTAGTTTTACTCTTCGGTCTACCTTCGCAGTCACATCTGCAAAGGTGACCTGTCTGGTAGACCGTAACATTTGTGACCAGCTATAAAGATAAAGCGTCCATTTGGTTGTGTATTTTCTAGGCTGTCATAATGTAGCTTACACATACTTTAGGTTTAACACATATCAGGTGTACCCCAGGATTTAATTATGACAATATATGGCTACTAAAAATGGGTTTCATGTGGGTGAAACTGTGGAGTACGGCTACTAAAACTAGCATATATGTTGGTGAATGTGGGTGAAACTGTGGAGAGCGGCCACTAAAAATAACATATATTGGTGAACGTTCGTGAAACTGTGGAGAGCCGCCACTAAAAATAACATATGTTGGTAAATGTGGATGAAACTATAGAGAGCGGCTACCAAAAATAACATTTGTCGGTGAACCTGGGTGAAACTAGAGAGCGGCTACTACAAATAACATATGTCAATGAAACTGGGTGAAACTGTAGAGAGCGGCTCCTACAAATAACATATGTCGGTTATCCTGCGTTAAACTGTGAAGAGCAACTACTACAAATAACATTTTATTATGTCGGTGCAAATGGGTGAAACTGTGGAGAGCGGCTACTAAAAACATCATTTGTCAAACAAAATATTTCACTTACAGATATCTTGACTTTTGCTGCGACACAGTTCTTAAAAGATCCAAAGCTACTTTGGACATCACAAGATACTATTATACCTTTGCGATTGCCAACTAATTTGGATCTGAAATAAAAAAAAAAACTTGTATAAACTTGACTCATAATCATAGAAAAATTTAATGTGAATAGAGAGAACTTTAGTATATTTTTGTATTGAAATTTAATGTAAAAGAAAACTTTATGTACAGTAATGGTAGTAACAAAAAATGCATAACTTACTTATTACTCCAGTACTCCTGGAAGGCCAGATTATTCAAATGTTTCACACTGATTTCATGTGCTGCTCCAACACTTTTTTCTGAACATATTTTACAAGCCATTGTTTAAATGCTTATATAAAGAAAAAATAATTAAAGTTCATGTACATGTGAAACACTGTGCTTCTCAGCAGTAACGATTTTGTCAGAGACTACTTAATGTGCCAGTTACTTAAATTCCAGTTACGACACAAGTTCTTCTGTCGCGGCTCAGAACACAACTACGAGAAATTGGGCAAAATTGCAGAAATATAGTAAGCTGAGCTGATAAAGCACAAAACAATCAACAACTTTTTGTTTAACACGTTAGTGAGTGTTACCAGAGTAATTATAAAGATTCAATCATGATTTTGTTTTACAAAAGACGGGTAGCAGTAATATTAACCAAATAAACAGTTTTGGTGTAGATATGTTAGTCATTATCAAAATACTGATAAACATTTAACATTTTATTAGTTTATTCATTTCACATAACACACGAGAATAAACAGTTGGAAGATATTTTATTCTTTGGTAATATTTATAGTTCTTGGGAAGGGAATTACCAATTTTCTTAGGCCGCACAGCGATATTCTTCTACACGTTTTTTTTTCCAAAATTCTGTGACATATAGGAGGACTATGCGGAAGGGCGGAAAAAAAATCGTCGCTCGAAAAAAAAACTGATTTGATACACTGATGTCTCGAGTTTGCAATATTTCAATATAGTACGTCACTTCATTACAATGTTATTACACAGAATATGTATATGCCTGTGTGAAATTCTTAATGTGTTGTTTTGATTGTTATGTGTGAGTCCCGTAGTGACAGTCGCACGGGAGTCTGAGAATGTGTGCGTGGGGAGAATCCCCCCACCCACCGCAAAAAATGACAGACTATTTTGTATAGCGAAAAGACGCTATGGCTACTCCCCTCCGATCCGCGCCGGTGGCCTGTGTAGTTCTACGACTATTGCTTATGAAAAACTGTCAATCCATAGGGATTCATTTTTTTTAAATCGATCGGATTTTGTGGATCGTAACGTCTTGATTCTATCCGTTGATCGGATCGCATGCATTTGATCCGATTCTCTAAAGATCGATCCAAAAATCGCATGGAAATACAAAATGTAATTGAAATAATGTAAATTGAAATCAAAAATGATTGGGTGGTTATCTTAACATTCGTAAACGCAATAGGAATAACAATAACCCAAGAAGACAAATTTTCAGATTACAATTATTATTTTATTGTACAAGAAAAGTCCTAAGAATAAATAAAATCTATAATTTACATATTATTCATTCTTAGGACTGCATGAGTAGCTTGAGGTCTGTTAAACACGATGCCCTTCCTTCTGATCATCTGATGGTATAGGGTTATAAAGAAATTCAGCGTGTTGTTTCAATGTAATGTGATATACTTTGTTGCACTGGATTATCATTAGCATGTAGGTACTTACTGATTGTTTTGATTCATTGGATCCTATCACATTCATAACTGACGTATTTACACTCTGTGAGGCCAGATGATATCTTTTTAAATGTCATAGGATTTGTTGTATTTCCATCTGATTTTACAACAATTAAACATAGCTTATATTTTGCTTTATCACAAGTTTTTATAAAATTAGACCACACAGTTGATTTTATAGGCGGCGCTATTTTAGGAATTAGACTAATAGACTTGCTGTTTAAGGTAACACAACGAATCAAAGAATGATAAACTAATATTGGTATTACTGGGTCCGCTATTAATATCTTTAAATCTTACCTTACAAATAGGTGTCAGGTTGTTAAAATTGACTAGGCGCAAAGCACTCCTAGACATAATGTAACGTTTGGCATACCCCAAGAATCCATCCTGGGACCATTGCTGTTTCTTGTTTACATAAACAGTATTCATGAAATTGGTTTAAAAGGGGACATAACACTTTATGCTGCTGATTGTTTTATTTTGGTAACTCAATCCAAGTAATAATTGCAGATGCACAAGCTGATTTGGATCACTTAAACGATTGGTTTCTTCATGATCTCCTAACAATTAATACATCAAAAATAAATTACATGATATTTTCAGCTAAAAACAAAAAAATATTGCATCATAGGCCACTTACTATAGATAATATAACCATTAATAAAGTAGATCAGGAGATATATCTCGGCTTAATTTTAGATAGTCACCTAACGTGGAAACCACACCTTAATAACACAAAATTAAAGCTTATTTCCCTCATGGGAATGCTAAGAAATGTCACAAAATGTATCACGCGTCCAATACGCTATACTATCTATAACTCTTTAATTAAATCACACCTTTTCTTTTTCTGTGCGAAAATCCCCTCGGATACCATTAACCGGTGGAAATGTCGGACTCGAACCGACTAAAACCGCACGCCGTCTCAGGTACCAGTAGTCGGGGAACCAGGTGTACCTAGACAGGAAATCCCTGTTGCCCCGACGTACCTCGAGCCATCTACGGCGGATAGACGACCCCCCCTGTGTAGGAACCCCCATGTTCCCTCTGTGCTCCCGGAAGGGCGTGCGCGCTTCGCAATGCGCTGGCCGCCACCCGGCCTGCTTCTGCTAGGGTGACTCTCCTTCGCAAGCATAACTTGCTCGCAGAAGGAGACGGCAGAGTTCCACGCACTCTCGATCGGGACGATAGCCGCAATCAGGTTATCGGGCGAGAGAACTCCTACTCCGATGGCCGCCACGAGGTCTCGCCTCTGCTCCACCCACGCCGGGCATTCTGCCAGAGTGTAGAGCGCCGTGTCCACGGTCCGACCATCGCAGTGGTGGCACTCAGGCGTTGGCTCCTTGCGGATCAGACACAAGTGATCCCCGAAACATCCTTTCCTAGTGATCCCCTGTCCGTCGGTATGAGAGGGTCCCGTGATGCCTCTCGAGCCAATCCTCCATAACGGGTCTTACCTCTTACGCTCGCTTGCCCAAGTCGTAAACCCAGACCCCTACACTGCACTCGCATAGTTCTCTTCAACATTGTTCACGGACTAAAAAAATACACCTCTGGGGTTTGTTTCGGCGTTTCTCCCCAGAGTAAGTCTTAGGAAAAGCCGGCGCCTTTTAGCTGTAAAGTACAATTTGTAAAAAAAAACTGAAAAGATTTAGATACTTACAGAAATAAATATAATTTATCATTTGAGAAGAAAGGACAAACAAAATCGACTCTTTTTTCATTACATATAGATTATTATGTAGGATAAACCCATGTCTATTTATAAAATTAAATAATCTTGATAAATCACACTATAATTATAATTATTTTTTTCATCCGCAAGGGAAACGTAAGCGTGGCCGTCCTAAGCAAACTTGGAGCGTGCGAAGCTCAGGACCGAACGCGATGGACACTGTGTCACTCGCTGATAATGAAGCTTTCCATTGGTGAAAGAATTTTTAAAATTTGTGCAGCGGTTTAGGCGTGAAAGCGTAACAAACAAACAAACAAACTCACTTTCACATTTATAATAAAAGTACTTATGGATTAGGAATGGACAATGATGATTATTAATAATCTAAAAGATTCACAGACATAGTACCTAACCGGCATCTTTCCGGATGTTTTTAGAATGCGTCGGCTTCATATCACAGGAACAAAAGGTTATAAAAATGTCATAAGGAAGGACACAAGAACGAAAAACAATATTCTATACTATATATTTATTTGTATCTATTCGAATTGTGTAAAGTATATGATAGTTGAGAATACAGGAATGTCTTCTACAGTAATTAACAGTTATAAATATAAATTATGACTAGAAATGAGATCAGAGTGGCTTTCAGGAATGCTCAATTTACAAACGTTATTAAGTGGTCCCGGAAAGAAACATTTTTGTATTTAAATCATTCGTTTCGGCCTCCTTCAAATAAATATTTCGACTCATCAGATTGTCCTTTGAGGTCACTTCGGCGCCAGGTGTAGGGGAATCTATTGAGTTGCCACTGCATGTTGCTGTCTATTTGGTACCCCAGTCCTATGCAGACTCCCAAAGACTTATGACAATAATAGCCGGGGGCGCATTTCTTGCCGTAGTTATCAAATTCCCTCTTCACAGTACACTGCTCGCCGGGCCCCTGTTTGAAAAAAATATATTTAAATACTGGTGTGGCAACTGTAAAACTGGCATTTAGAAAAAAAAAACGGGCTCTATCCGTGCAGATGATACATGGCATTCGGTCGACTACAACTGAATATGTATGTTCTCAAGGTCATATACAATATCTAGGTATATCTCACGCACATGCAGGATCAATGCTTATATGCTTAAGAAACAAGTGTGTTTCATAAATGGCTGTCCGACCGCTACACTGAATATAAATAACCTAACGATACATCGATTCCACCGTTAGTTTAAGTGGTCTCTCAAATTTTAGTAAGGCTCAAAGCACAGGCAAGGCTCTTCCAAATCGGTTAACTTTTACTTAAGCTATAACTAAATATATCCCTAATTTTATTTCTCTATTTCTGTGATAAATAGGATTAACTCCGCTGTGGTTTCAGAACATACTACTTCTACAATGTATGTGTGTTGGCAATCCATAAAATGTTTTAATAATAATAACTTGACACATTTGACACACGGCTGTCTGATCCCAAACTAGGCCGAATCTGTAGTATAGTAACCAGACTGATTGAAACCAGACTTACCATATTTATTTCTGAAAAAAAAAACAACATGATAATATCATAGATAAATTACACCCAGACAGAAAAAAATATCATGTTCGTCACACGATTATTTGTCCTGGCTGTGAACCGAACCCACGACCTTTGGTTTAGCAGTCAGGGTCACTAGTCACTAGATTAACAGGCCAGTCGAATGTTAGATATAATTATATTGCAAGCGGTTTTACATATAAAAAACGATATAAAGTGGTACAATTAAGCTTTTCGTACCCTATAGCAATCCAGTCGACTGCCGCAAACCTCGTTGATGTAAGTACCGAGTTTGCATTTTTTGTAGATCTTGTCGCCTCTCTTGATAGGACATTTCTCGGTATTTGGCAACCAATTTTCTGACTCTTCACACACGGGGCACTCCACGATATCTCTATAATAATAATATTTTGGACATCTGACACACAACACCATCTAGTTTCAAACTAAGCAGAGCTTGTGCTATGATTGCCTAGCAATAATATTTCATTATAGAATCTAGATTCTATAATGAAATATCAATTTGCAAAAAATTTTTTTTTAATATATCACTGATAAATGTTTATTTACGAATTTAGCGTTTTTTTTTGTCAATTGTTAGACCATGTTGCCGTAAAAAGTATTGTTACTGTTGAGCATTTAATGCAGTATGGGTGAGATCACGCTTCCCAGCATATCTAACTATTTAAAATATAAATAAATAAATATGAACACATCTTTTAAACAAATTACTAAAACGTAAACTTAGCAAAAAATGGTGTTTAATTAAGTTTACACAGGCTTTATTCGAATCTTAACCGATAAGCCCGTGTATCAAACTATTATACAGTGTTTCAACGTTAGAAACACAAAATTCCATCTTAACAAGTCTAACTCTGAAAAATTAAGGTGTCGTGTCATGATTTAGATGCATTGAAGTGAGTTACACTTCTTTAAAGTTTATTATTAAAAATGTTTTTTTTTCGTAAACTATTAACCACGATTTACAACCATTTTAGTGTTTTATTTTGCTTCTTTTATACATCAATTTAGAACAGCTCCTTCCTCCTCAATAATGGTGGTTAAAACCCGTCGGCTTACCTGTCATCCCCGGAGTAAGGTTCTTCTCTGACGATTAAGTTGTGGTTGTCATACGACCCTCTATAGTGAGCTAGGCAGAAACCGGTTAACAGCATCAGATATAGTAGGGGATGCATCATGTTGTAGAGTTCTGGAACATGCAAAAACACCTTTCTTGTAATAACTGCGAAAAGCAATAAATTTTAATGTTTGCCCGTGGCGCAAATATATTTTTCCCATTCCTCGTGATTGGTTCTATTTTCCACATAAAGGTGTTCTGTGTCCTCCTCTGTATGAATGTTTGACAAACATGATGATGATCGATGAACGGTACGGAACCGCATAAAATATGAGCAAGCAAACATGGGCCTTAAAAAATAATAAGGATATTATACTGGCACATGTGGTAACTGTTATTTTCTTGCACTGGTATTACTCAAATTTTAAATTAGAAAGGTGATATAGATTTAACGGATTTTTATTCGAAAAAATATAAAGGCCAAAGCCTCCTTTCTAAGGAAAAGCCTATGTCCAGCAGTGGACTATTAAATTCTGTGAATGATGATGATGACGTAAAAAACTGTAGCATCTAGGGTAGATACTATATACATCATAAACATATAGTAGTACATAGTTAAAGGTTGGAAACCTGTGGCTCACGATCCACATGTAGTTCTTATAATGTAGACTGGCGATGCTTTGATATCAAACGCAAACAAATTTTATAAAACCTTTAAAAATCGTGCAATCGATTTATGTCACAACTATATTACTCAGCCTTAAAATTACATTAAGACCTACAACAACAAGTTTTGAACAAGATTTAACCATGTTTTCAAAGGGCATGCAAAACAGAGTTTCCCATTCATTTAAATATCTATTTTATTGAATATTTGTAATTTTTTAATCTAAGGAATTCATTATCTCAATTATCTAACTAAATATTTTAATATGCTTCCTTAGAAAACCACTTGTATTTGTTTTTATAAATAATTAAATTAAATTAATTTTAAATGAAATAAGTATACAAACGAAAAAGTATAATAAAATATAATAATTTAAAATGAAATTTTATTGGCTCTCTAAAAACATGTCAAATTTGAATGTACCCACCCTTGACGTAGGTGATATGGTAAATAAAATCTTATTTTGTGTTGCCATAGCCACAAACATTTTTGTTACAGTAGATACAAAATGTCGTAACTATAATAATAATATATGTATAGTGATATTTTGTACTTAATTTACTTCCAATGTGCATTCGAGTCCCTCGTCTAAATAGGAATAGATTGACTTGATAATAACGGACTATAAATAAGTTCGCAGAAAAAGCTCAAAACGTTAACGCCCAAAATATGTTTTATGCCTGAATCACTTGAATTAAATCATAATCATATATATATTCTTAGGATTTCACAAGAATTAATGTTATTTGATGAGCTTGCCGTATGACTTCGAAGCATGTGAACTCTCCTGCAACGAAATTAATCACGAGGTATTAGTGTAGTACTCGTAACAGAGTTATTTTTGTAAGTTTCATGTATGAATGAATAACTAATACCTACTAATTAATAATAGCTACTAAACGAGGGAAATACTTATTTGGGTTATGTCGCCAACGCAAGTGTCAGCGGCAAAACTCAAATAAATATTTCCAATATCTTCAAAACACCAATATTAAAAAAGATGGTAAAAAAAAATTGCCATAAGGTTCTTGAGGTGTGAGGTATTAGTATGATTAGTGATCTTCTTGTAGAAAATGTTTTTCTGTATATATAATAAATAAAAATACATATACAACTAAAACAAATGAGTGCAACACAAACAAATAGTAAGGTAACGGAGGTGGAGTCTTCTGAGTGGAGGTCTTTTTCCAGCAAAGGAAAGGTTATTAGTCTTTTTGTAGGAAAATATAGTTATCTAGGAGCATTTAAGTACATATGGCCCAGGTAAGGCAGGTCTTAGAATCGGCGACCAACTACGTCTACGAACCGTCTTTCGGAAGGTTGCAATTTTTCTAAATACTTAATTCTTGGAATACGAATAAAACATAATAAGTTAGGTAATCAATAAGCAAGGAAACTAATTCGAGAAGAATAACAAAAAAATATAACACTTTGCGTTCATCCCATCATCATTTGTTTACTTTTAAAAATAAAAAATACGTAATTTTCTCTTGTCAACATCGTGGAACTCGACACGTACACAGATTTGTCTTTCGATGTTTATTAATACTTGAGGGGCTTGCCTTACGGCATCTTTGTCTGCATGTGGGAGTGTTTTTTCCCAATGAGATGTGACAGATTAGGAGCTTTCTGGTTTATAGTGGCTGATTGTGAAGTTCATTAAGAGACTCTTATCTTTTTTATAAAATTTTGTTATGGATAGTTCTCTATGAAAGTTACTGTAATACTATTATAAACTCGTTGTCTATTCATTCTAATATTCATAAGTTATGGGTCAAGTTCTTAAGAACCTAAAAAGGCCCAATCGATATATTTCTCGAAAAAATATAGGAATATAAATATATTTTGGACTTCAGAGTCAGTGAGATGGAATTTTATTTAAAAATAAACGTCACTGCAGTTGACGCGGGTGCACTGAAGAGAAAACTGCCGCATCGACTGTTTCGTTTTCATTACTGGGTATGTACGACGACTTAAAGCAATCTAGCAAATAAAGAATAAAATATACTCGTTGCTATTTTGGTACAGTAGTGGCGTTATATACCAGATTAAAATATCGTCTGCGCTTGCGCAGCTCGGTCGTAAAAGACGTGCAACTTCTTAAATTCATTATCTACTCTGTGCATTCGTGTCAGATATTTCGGCTAATACAGAGGCCCCAGTTTTGCCGTTGTTTATTATTTTATATATTTTCAGTATATAAACATTTGTCGTGACTGTTATAAGTCATATACAGTGAATTAAAATAGTGACTGTTCTACATTTGCTTAAATTATTATATTTTAAGATGGGTATGATTTCACGAGTGCGAGGCCGAATCAGAAGTGATTCTTTTTCCAAGATTCATACTCTTAAGACAGAGGACAAACTTGCTAATATCGGTAAGTAAATATTCAAAACATTTTCTTCTTAAATTCTTCTTCTTGTCAGCCGAAAGACCTAGGGTCATGTCAAGCAGTGAAGGGACATAGGACTCTCTCTTGTCTTGTAGAGTTATAAATTTATATTAAAAATATTACTTTACATATGTATTGCTATTAACTTCATTTTATTAAGACAAATACAAAACATTTTTCTTTTCTTTATGTTTTATTTTTACTGTTTATTTCTAAATCTCATTTTGAATTTAAATATTATTATTTATCTTGTGAGATTATGTTTATTCCTTTAAACAATTAAATTTATTTACAAAAAAAATGTACCGACAGTGAGGTCGAAGAATTTTAATTAATTTCGCCTAGAACTTTCCTCAAATTTTTGAATGACAAGACTAAACAGGATCGAAAATGTATTACGAAGACTGCAAGTGTTCAAGTGTAGTTGAATTAATAAAACTTTGTCGCGCGATATTTGTGCCATTTTTTTTGCTTAAATCCCATTTCAATATATCTACCCCACTTTCTCCAACGCAATGAAAAACAGCTGAATTTTAACCTTCCTTCATTATGTGGAAAACTCATCACCCAGTATCCACCAGTTATGTTTAGGGCATCGAACTGTGTTTTGGGCAGAGTTCCAGACTGCTGCGGAGGATTCTTATCCAAAAAATAAGACATTTCGTTGAATAGAATTTTCGGTGGTATTAATTCTGCGTACTATTTTTCATATATCTTGTTTGTATTTTCGTTTATTTTATGACTCATGTGTTTACTGTTGTGACTGTTTGACATTTACCACGTGTTTGTAAATATGTGGGGCAAACACCAAAGCGTTCAACTGCTGCGCGCAATTATACCGTCACCAGACACAATGATGGCTTCAGTTTTTTTCATTAGTATTTATTTTGTGATTCGGTAATCTTTAAATATACAAAATATTAAGTTGGTTTGTGTACGTTTCAAAAACTCAAAAGTTCATCACCGATTGAGCTGAAATTTTGACAGATATGCAACACGCTTCAGAGATGGTTTTTATAATTTTTTTTTGCAACCACAATGTGTTACAGCTTTCTACCTTTCTTTTCAATACACAAAACATTTTCCAATGTGATTCCTAGAGCGGCCGGTGGATAGGCTCTCCTAGGACTAAAATGTGGGGGTGTTATACGGCTCCTTGTACCCTTGGGGTATGAAGGCGTGCTTGTAAATGTGTATATTCTGTAAATTAGGTACTTAAGGTAAATTTACCTATCATATCTATATTTCGACAAATTGCTAACCGGTTAATAAATACGGTGAAATTACCGCAGGTTCCTTTTTTCTACTGTCTGATTATTAGGAAATAAAGAAAACGAAAATGTTTTTAATTTAGCATACATTGTGATCTCGTATAAAAAGATACCATGTGTCGTGACGTTATCTTTTCCATGTGTGTAAGAGATGAATAAAAGGATAAAACTGAATGCTGACTCCATCATCCACGAGTGTGATAGTATTAAAACGATCCAAATCTTTCAAAAAACGTCACAGTGTGAACTTAGTAGTACTACATTTATGTCTCTGTAGTTTGTCTGAAAGAGTATGTAGTGACTATTTAGACACTAAAGAGAACGCAGACTTATTCATGAATTGTCATACGTCAAAGACAAGAACTATAACTAGTTATTCGGTGATCATACATATAGTCGAAGAAGGAATCACGTACCTACTTATTTCAAAAAATGAGATCGTTTGTTTTTTAGCTCCTTGCCCAAAGAATGATTTCTTCTTAAACAGTACGTATTTTGTTTTTTCTCTCTTTTATTATTAATAAGATGTAGATAGAATTCATTGCAAGGTGCTGCGATGGATTTTTGGTCAGTTTTGCTAAACTGACTAGAAGTTGAATAAAAAAGGTACATATGACCTTGACAGGTGATCAAGGGTCTACTACTATCAAAATATAGTAATTATAAACCCGTATTTTTCATGTCTGTTCGAATACTTTTATAATAATATTCTTTTTAACAGTGATTTACAATTTTAAAGAACATTGCGATGCGGTAACCTAAATTGTTGCCCTAAATATTTGTATGTCAAGGACCCGCAGCGATCTGGGAATAATATTATAACAGCTATCAATAACGAAACCGACATACCCTTTTAAACGGAGAAAGTCCTGAGCGTATTAACAGTTAATGTAATAGTAAGACTAATCCTGTAAAATCTTATTATTCTGTTCTAGAAGAGTATCATGTACATACGGATTATTTTCTTCATAAAATGATTATACTAATAATATTCTACCGCATTCACACAACTATGGCTACTAGATAACTGATATAAATACATATATACTTTTTTTATAAATACGTACTTATTATAGATTGTTACACTTTGTTACATGCATATAATTTATTACAGCAATATAATATTGATCAACTTATTAATTGTCTAGTAATCAGTATTTTTATTTACACTATTTACACTAAATAAGTTAAGTAAATAAAGTTAGAGATTTACAGTAACAGAGATAATATGAAGTCGGTTAAAAACAAATGAATAAAATCGGTCAAGGCCAAAAGACGATAAACAGTCACTTTTCGTTAAACTGCCTGTATTTTATCAAATGGAAAAACCAAAGTAAATCAGTATATTCTCAATCTAATACCAATAATGATAGCAATTAAGGCAGAGGTAACTGATAAGATGTCTAACGTAGGTAACCTAACCTAACGTTAGGTAAGAAGAAATGTTCTTTGGGGCCAGGACCTAAAATAATTCTACTTATTCACCACTCTGTGATGATATTTATAGAAGTTTTAGGGCGACTCTGACGCAAAACATAAAATACAGTAAATCACAAGGAAAATATTTGAACGGTTTTATTTCTCACAGCCGTCAGTATCTTTATTTTGGGATCGTTAATAATAATACAATCGTCTACCGGCCACTGCACCGAGTGTCAGTGACACGATAAATTTCATCATTCATCCACCGTTCAAAACATTAAATGTAATTCGTTATAAAAAGGTTTGAAATCGCCGCCAAACAGATTCCCTTTCACTCTTGGATATGTTGCCAAATTCATTTCCGTTAACATTTACTATATTGACGGTCTCGCTGCACTTTTCCATCCTGCCTTTGACCTGAGGAAATCCTACATCAGACTGTTCATGTTCAGACTTTGGACTCTGACTCATAAGCACCGTTGCCAGTATGAAGTTTAGTACAGGCTGTGCGGCGCAAAATAACTTCATATTTAAGGTTTATCGTTAAGGCAAAACCCAATTTCTAAACTAATTTGGGGTCGGCTTAAGTCTACTACGATACGGCTGAACTTCAATTTTTACTTTAAGCGATTACCATCAGACCTCCACAACCCAAGTATTAAGCGATATTAAAGTTCTATAGAAAGACTGTTGTCGGACTTTTAGGGCTCCAACTACCCGTAACGATTGCCACAGATGTTTTGCCTCTCCTTCATGTCAAAATATATATTTATATATGTATATACACATTTAATACCTATATTAATCTAGATATTTAGATATCGAATAGTGTGACGCATGAATTACCTAGTTAAGAAACTTGTACATAATATTATTGTGAAATCATGTTATTTTATATTATTTTCGGTTCTAAATTTTTTACTAATACACACAATCAACACTGTCAACAACAGTTTCTGTTGAGTTAAGTATTATTTTGATACTATTATGTGGTTCAGCGAATGCTTTATCAGTCGGGACAAAATACACAATATCTGGAGAGACCTCCTCTAAATATTTTACTTTTGATTAGGTAATATTTAAATGTCCAATTTGTTTAATGAAAAATCCTCGAGAATATTTTTAAGTATCTCACTCCTCTTTCCCTATCCCTGGGTTTACACAGCGGCTTGCTGGCAATAGGTGATACTTACCTGCTCTTATGATGGAAATACCTTTTCAAAATTTACCAAATTAGTTAAGAAAATTAAGTATTTACATTAAATAAACGAATGTCGACTACTAGAATTTTTCTGAAAACAATTTTTTTGACATTTCAGTATGGCTTTTGTCCTTGGTGTTTCTACTTCCCTACTGGGCGCCGCGGGGGCTGCTGGTTGCGCTCGGCGGCGCGTGGTTAATGGCTGCCTACACTTGCCTCGTGGTTCCAGTCCTTATATCAGCTAACTATAAATACCCTGCGAGCTGGTATCCTGCTGTGGTCAAACTCGCCCAAGGTACCAAATTCTATTATAGGTTTATTTATTTCCAGAAATAATTTCACTAAAGATTTCAATCAAGTTAGAATTGTGTCCTAAACTGTAAGTCTAAATATTTATATTTCTGTGTATCTAATATTTTAGTATATTAATTTAGGTATCTAAAATAACTTAGGTTAATGAAACCTTGCGGCTATCGTACGGAGCGAGAGTGCGTGGAACTCTGCCGTCTCCTTCTGCGAGCAAGTTATGCTCGCGAAGGAGACGGCGGAGCGGGACCGGGAGAGGTTTAGGACTCTCCCGGCCCACCAGGCCCGGGAACGGGCCAGGTACCGCAGGCGACTCAGGCGCCGGAGGTCGCAGAACGACCTCCGTCCTCCATAAGCGCAGGCCTGGGGGTGACAGGTGAGGCCATCTGTCACCCTAGCAGAAGCAGGCCGGGGTGGCGGCGAGCGCGTTGCGAAGCGCGCTCGCTTCCAGGGAGCACAGGGAACATGGTTTTTTTTTTCAGGGTTTGAAAACCACTAAAATATTTTTATTTTTGTCTATGTCTTTGCTCTTTTTTCTCATTTAGTCATAGGACCTGAGGTAGACGGGTGTTGAAGTGTCTAATTTGACGATTCTAAAGCGTAAGATACTTCGATACAGGAAATTCTAAAGCGTAAGATCCGACAGCCGGAAACGGATTTTGGCAACAACAGATAAAATACATTTTTCTTGTGTGCGTAACAATACAACATACGAGCCATTAAACTTTGTGAACATAGTTCTATTAACGATACAAATCAGTACATCATGCTTCTAATGAGCTTACCAACGTCAAGGATGTTCTAAATAACGCGTTGTCTTTAGGCCTAGAGTATACAGATTCTGTAACACAAATAAGAATTTTAGGATAAACAACGGGCTGTGCCAATCTCCTGACCTATGCTCCGCCCACTATGCACTAAAGTCTTTTTACATCGTCAGAGAGATCAGAAAGATTCCAAATCCAAACTGATATGTAATACCCTTAAACGAGCAATTATTGTGATATGTATATAATCTAAATCTCGGAAACAGCACCAACGATTTTCATGAAATTTAGTATGCAGGGAGTTTCGGGGGCGATTAATCGATTACCTAAGCTAGGTTTCATTTTATATAATTTACCAAAAAAACATACCCAGGAAAGCTCGGTTATCCAGGTACTATATTATCAATTGTCGTTATTATGACGTAGAAAACATTCAGACGAAAATAAATGAGCTCAGACACTTTCTAGACTAAATTATGATTATTAAGTAATCAGTATTATATCTAAAAATCTATGGACATATAAAATTCATGAAAAAAAACTAAATTAAGATCATGGACATGTTTGTATACCTTTGAGAAAGTTTTAATAATATTTTAATTAAAAATATATAAACCGTTAATAGCCAAGAATCGTAAACAACGAAGTCTGTCTACAGACAGAAATACATTTGATTAAACATCTTATTTTCATCTAGGTCAGCTCTTTTACATGCCTATGGAACTGAAAAAATAAAATTAAAGTTAAGATATTTTAGTTTAGTTTATTTAATAATGAACAAGATATTTAAAAAACACACTAATTCATGTAATTTTGTATGATTCTGTACTATAACTCCGATTAATACTTTGGAAGCGATCGATGTTCAAAATCTATCACACAGAACTCCAAGCGACCGAATGGGTTTACCTTCAGAGAAGCTTCGAATATTTTGGTCCCATTGCATGAAATATAGATATATATTACATGTATGATATGTATATATATATTATATATAGGAATATAGATAGAATGTTACAACTTGGAAAACTACTCACAACAGGCAAAACAGACGCTAAAAAAGTAGAAACCCTTGGTAGAAACTAGTAATCACAGAAGACCTATTCTTTATGATTATAAAGAAATAAATAAGGCAGTGCAATCATTAAAATAACTGTGAGAGAGAATGGGCAACAAAAAATTGTTAGACCTTAAAAAGGAACCTTAAGTTTTATAAGAGGTCCTTGATAATTGATATGAATATTAAAAATTTGTATCATTGGTGCATCTTTAACCTAAAAAATTGGTCAGTATAAACTTTGGCAAGTAGTAAATCATCTAATGTTCTAGTCGAACAACAATAAAAACATCTCATGGCGTCGCTTTTTATTTATTCCAATGATATTGAAGCGTTGGCTTAGTATTCTTGTTATCGTGAGTTAATTTTATATTTAAAAGTCGGGTCATTGTCGAGAAACTGAATGGGACAGCGGAAACTGGCGTGGAGCCATTCCTACGTGCGTCAACCGCAGAATATTTGCTTGTACTTTTCTGCGTCCAAACAAAAACACCTCTAGTTGTACACACATTCAGGAGCACGCTTTCAAAATATCTCACAAACAAAAAATGTATTAATTGGGGAACCTTTGCTTTATACTTATTCTTGTAGTTTAATTTTATAGTATTTAATATAGTAATGAACACTTTCTGATCAAAATATTCTAAAAAAAAGAAGAAGTTTAGGTGCACAAGAACTCTTAAACAAAGACTTAATTTTATTGCGTTATTGTACCTGCAGCCAAACAATGATGATTTTTATATCTTGACTTGGAAAAACGAGGACATCCATCATTTTTATAAAAGTTTAAAGGGCCTATGACATCGAATGATAATTGTTAGTATAAATGTAACGACAATTTTTAACTGGCAAATAAATTGACATACTGGACGACGAAACGTTCATATTAGGAAGACCTAAGCCTTCGAGCGTCGTTTTTCTCTCATAAAAACCTATTTCAGTGATTACCTTCACTATATCTACAGTAAGGGTTACAATAACATAAAGCTTTCGAGCTACTATACATCAAGGATATCACAAGGTGCTATACATAACAGCAGTAACAGATAAACACCACAACGAATTTGTTGTTGAAATTGTGTTAGGATGATATACAGGGATATGTACAACAAAACACACGCAGGGCGAAAATACACCAATGTTGCTATAGACCACATAGGCAAACAATTATAGAATTGATTAAATCAGTGATGTGTGACGCCATGTTGTGGCGGATGGTGACGGATTAAGAATAAGGAGTGTCACCACCCCTATTCATCTCGTGTGTGTCGTAACAGCCGACCAAGGGAGCAACTTGTGAACAACAACAGCATTGCAGAGTGAAAGAAAACTTGAAACAAAACCTTTTTTTTTTTTTTAACGTGTGGAAATCCCCTCGGACCGTCACCCCACCGGGGTTTGCGGGGGGGTGGTGTGTCGGACTCGGACCTACTAAAACCACACGGTGTGCCACTCTGCGCCTGTAACAGGACGAATCCGGGAACAGCTGTTATTAAGACATCCGGACCCCTCCTATCGGATCCACCCCTCGGGTGGAGGGCGAAATCCGCTCTCCGCCCGGGAGTCAGCCACTCGCCGGTAAACTTCGGCGAGCACTTCCGCCTCCAAATCCCACGGGGGAGTTCCGGCCAACGCGCACGCCACCTCCGTCGACACGGTGCGGTAACCGCGTATGGCTCTGACCGCCATTACCCTCTGAGGGCGCCAGAGGCGTACCCTATTCTGGGCGGTCAGAGCCGCCGCCCACACCGGTGCACCGTATAGTGCCATTGACCGGACAACCTCCGTGTACAGCCGTCTTGTCGCGACGCTGGGTCCACCCAAATTGGGCAAAAGTCGCCCTAGGGCAGACGCAGCGCCGACCAGCTTTGGAGCAAGCTGTCGGAAGTGCTCGTTGAAGAGCCACCTCCCGTCGAGGATCAGGCCCAGATATTTCATCTGGGCCCGAACCGGTACGAGGACCGAGTTGACCACGATTGAGGCGCCAGGGGGTGGACCACGACGGGGCCCATGAAATAACAGGGCCTCCGTCTTATCTAGGGCCACCCGTAAGCCCAGCGCCTCAATGCGCCCGACCACCAGGGAGACTCCCCTTGTGGCCAGGCGCGCCGCCTCTTGGAAGTTCGCCCCCCGGGCTGTCACCAGAGTATCATCTGCGTAACAAATTACACCCAGCCCGGGGGGGAAATCGGCTCGAAGGGCCCAGTCGTACCCTATGTTCCACAAGAGGGGTCTAAGAACAGACCCCTGTGGAACACCACACGACATGGGCCGACACCTCAAATTACCCTCTCGGTCCTCGTACACGACGGTACGCTCCTCTAAATAGTCTGCCACTAGCCGCCTCAGGTACTTTGGCACCCCATGATAGTGGAGTGCTTCCCTGATGCAGCTGAATGGCAGACTATAGAATGCGTTGGCGATGTCCAATGACACCGCCAACAGCACGCCGCCACAGCTCACGGCCTCTTCGGTCACGGCCCTCAGGCGCAACACAGCGTCGACTGTCGAACGCCCCGCCCGAAAACCAAATTGGGCGTCCGACAGATCGGGGCCCACCTCGTAGAGGTGCCGGACGATGCGGGCAGAGAGAACCCTCTCAAACAATTTACCCGCCTCGTCCAGCAGCACGATGGGCCTGTAGGCCGCGACCGAATCGGCAGGCCGTCCCGGCTTCCTTAATAGGACCAGCTTCCCGCTCTTCCAGCACTCAGGGAAACGTCCCGACGCCAAGCTAGCGTCGAACACCTCCCCGAGGCGGTCTGCCATGTGGTTGAGGGCTAGGGCCAGCACTCGGGCCGGTACCCCGTCTGGCCCAGGGGCGGTGTTCTTGGAACGGATCCGTAGAACAGCCGCCCCTACCTCCGAATCCCGGACGGGCGGAACATCATCCTCCTCGTGCTCCCCGTCGTCTCCGGCCAAGGAGGCCATCGCCGGGGGAAAACAAAACCTACACCAACCCGTCTGGCCAGCGTGAAATAGTAGTCTAAAATCTCCTTTCTAAGGAAAAGCCTCTGTCAAGCAGTGAACTATTAAAGGCTGTTGATGATGTAAAAACTTTAGTCATCTAGGGTAGATACTATTGATGATGATAATGACGATATCAATGATCGATCATCACCCTTTACCTTACAAACCAATTCTGATCATATAATTTTTATATTTTGTAAATTAGCAAGCATACATGCAATTAATGTAGATGCGGTTTACGATCAGAAAATGTGGCTTTTTGAATACTCGAACAATTAAACCTTTTATTACGTCTAAAATCGTTGACTACAGACTACTTACTTACCATTTCGTAAAAATATCGAAGTAATTTTCTTCTGAAGGTACAGTCTTAGTAAGTAACTACAACCGCCGCGGTAAACCAGCAAAAAAAATTTGATAGAATTCTAACTTAATCAAATAGTCATTGACTACTAGACAATTATTTTAATCAATATTTCAGTGACTTTGAGAAATCAAGAAATAAATATCTAGGAAAATTGTTTGCTTACCAGATTCTTCCAGGGGTAGACTTGAGAATAGTAGCGGAGGTTGAACCGTTGCTCTGAACTGACCATTCTCATCCACTGCTGGTCCTTTTATACTAAATCTTTTGCTGGACATCACCATAGCTCCTTGTATCTAGGGACTGCGTTATCCTAATAGAAACAAGAATTTATTTAAATTTATTTTACCTTCAATTATATTACCCGCATAAAGTGATTCGTTAAGTAAAAAAAGAGGATAAATCGTTTGAATTGCGTGTGAGAGATTGCACGAGAACTAATTCCTGACACAAGCAATTAGCTTAGATTGTGAGGTCGACGAGTACTTAAGAGCTGTAGAACCGGCTGTAATTACTTGTGTGATATTTTTATAGTCATCATCATCATCATCAACAGCCTTTAATAGTCCACTGCTGGATATAGCTTCTCCTTAGAAAGGAGGTTTTGGCCTTCTATACCACGCTGGCCAGACGGGTTGGTATTGGGTTTGTGTCAAGTTTTTCTTCTCTCTGCAGTGCTGTTGTTCTGCGTAGTTTTCTCCCTTAGTCGGCTCTTACGACACCCACGGGATGAATAGGGGTGGTGACACTTTGTATTCTTAATCCGTCACCACACGGTCAGTTTTTAGTATAAGGGTTTAATAACTCGTTTAGCTCTGGATGGACCTCAAATAACAAAAATACCTGTACTCTATAATGTACACTTATAAAATGTTAAAAGATAACCGTACGGAACTGAGATGCTCCGATTTGATCAATGATCTTACTGTGCTCTACCTACCTATGCCTAAAATAGTTACAAAGGCTCATTCATAGAAGTAAGTTAAATAATTGTTACTCCACTAACTAATACTACCAATAACACAATATTTACACTATGGCTTTGAAGCGAAACGGAAAGGTGAATATTATTTAACGCTTTTGACATATAAAGGACTCTTGAGTCATCGGAATCTCACACTAACCGTTTAAGTTACTGGAGAAGAGGACTTTTGATTTCTAGAGTATTTAAAATCATATAGAACAGCCGTTATGGACTATCTCATAATCAAACTTTTTCGACACATCTGCTTTAAAGCAAATTATAACTTAATTATCACGGATTTTATCAATCAAATTATCAATCAATCAAAAGCAAATCGCGTCAGGTATTTTTTTTAAATTTTCGAATGGATTAAATTTGACCATAAATTAATTCTTCCCCGTTTAGTTTTAAATATTATTCTTGATCACTTATTGAATTCTCAATCCAAAATATTTATTTACTAAGTAAATATGTAAAATATATTCTTGGTTAAGAAAAAATATGTAAATGAAGGAAAAGTACTTCAGATGAGCAAATGCTAACTCGGTGTAGACAATTAGATGTGACAGTTGGTAGACGTACGCCCACGGCTTACCACAGTAGGTACTTGTTTATCTAGTTACAAATGTGTTTATTAATAATTTAGAGGCAATATTATAAGATAATAGATGCCTGCTTTCCCTATAAACTGAAATTTCCGAAATCCTCACTTGAACTAAACATTTTACTATAGCGTATAGCGTTCGTATCTACAGTCGTTCACAGCGAAATAAACGCTGCCACTTTATGAATGCAGTTTTCTTAATATACCTACATTCAAATAGACACAAAAAGTATGGAGTTACAAAGTTGAATAAGCTTAAGTACTTTTAATGATGTTTAAATCCTATCTTCTGTTAAAGTCGCTAATTAATTGACAGCTTCTTTCTGGTCAACGCAGAAAGGATGTTCATCATGATCATCATCTTCCTAAGTATTGACCAAATTTATTTGGAGAAATTTATATATTTATTTGGATTTTGGTGCAATGAATTTTCTTCATCCATTCTCCTTGATGACTCGATATCCTGTTTTTTTTTATGAAAGTCGGGGCACGAACAAACCGATCACCTGATGGAAAGTGACTACCGCCGCCCATGAACGCTTGCAACTCAGGAGTCACAAGCGCCTTGTCGGCATTCGAGGATGCTCTTTTCTCAAACATTTGAAGGTCGTATCGGTTCGGAACTACCGCGGACGACAACTTATTCCACAGATTGGTTGTGCGAGGCAAAAAGTGTCTTGAAAAGCGCACAGTGGTGGAGTGACAATTATCCAAGTGATGGAGATGAAAATATTGCCATATGTAACGATAGCGGCAAGTTGCGGCCGGTATTAGTCCGGACAATTTCTCGGAGCACTCTCCTTGGTACATACATGTTAGAGAATGCAGAGTGAATCAGTCGATCGGAGCCTCTTTCACGCACTTCTTCATTTCACTGCGAAGTGGTTGCGAATTTTATTTTTTTGGCAGACCGCCTGCCTGACGCCAACCCCTTTTGGGAAAGTAACCGACAAAAACCAAGAAAAATACCTAGATAAATGGATCGCCGAAATTCCTGCATCATTCGCTGTTGTAGTTGCCATCGCTTTAAGCTACTAATATTGCACTTCTCATAATTTGAATCGGGCGGTACAACTAATGGCTAGGAGAAAATGATCTTGATTATATATCATAATATATGATTAAATATAATACGTAAATACGAAAAAATAAAACGTTTTTATATATGTATAATTATACAGAATTATATATAATCATATCTAAAGATAGCAGATCAAGTCTCACTTTTCATGGATTCAATATGCTGATATAAAAAAAATATTTAAGGTCCAATCATATCTAAGTATATCCAACGTTTTATTTGGACTTAACAGATTACATTTCATCATATAAAATTATATATATTTGGATATAATTATATAAACTCATATACAAGTTTATATATTATTATACACATTTACCATATCCATTTATCATATCCACTAATATATGATCAGATTCAATCATTTTTTCTCGGGTAGTTTAATATGAAAAACTAATATATACGACAAGTGACCGATCTGAGACGCTAGTTGTGTCAGCACTGTTGCCGCCAGCCGTCTGAGTTGCACCGTCCACTCCTCGTCGGCAGCCGGCTTTGAAGCAGCTTTACCGCTTTGTTCCTGAAGCAGTGGACACCATAGGCAGCTGCGGTGCTGACACTAGGAAAATTATAAAGGATGTAGGTCAAAAACTCACAGAAGTCAATAGTAACTTTAGCTTCGGTTCGTTCTTAGTGCAAAGGTTGGATTGCCATTCAACGCAGCAATGCCGCAAGTGTGATGGGCACCTTTCTACCGAAAACGATCACGGACGAGTTAAAATTTTTTTTGTATAAATTTGCTCGTTTCCATAACTGCGTCTGTAATATATTTCTTTTAAATTAGTTTATAATTATTATTTTACAATTATTATATTATGTAAATAATTTAGCAAATAACAAAATTTTGCATAAAGGTTAATATTAATGGTCTCGGAGCTTTTACAAATATTATTGAACAACAAATCAAACTAGGTATAGTCTATAGATGGTCGTCATCACGAGCATTTAAGTACTATTTCATTGACACTGAATTACTGTGTATTGATGTTAAGTATATAAATAATATTTTTACTATGCTTAATTGTCGACAGAAGCGATCAAAAGACTGAGGGAGCCAGCGTCACAAGTGCTAAGGATAGCGAGGGCTATATATGCGCCGGTGGATCGTGCCGAGCGCATTTTCCTACAAATGAGCAACTTATCGACTATGATTGGACAGGTATTTATTTTTGTTTAAAAATAATATGTCAAGTGCATGGCAAAATATACAACATTGATTCAAATACATACTTTTTAAACCCATGCATTTGAAAAGCTAATAGATATAATTAAGTAACAAGTGCTTAAGCAATTTAAAGATGAATGGAAAAGAGAAAAGAGAAGGGCAAAACCTATAAACTAAAAACGTATTTCTCTGCTAAGTAAGACAAAAAAAATAAACACACAGCCCGCATATCGTAAAGATACCATTACTTTATCACTCAGCAGGTGTACAGTACAATAAACAACGGTGTCAATACTGTTTCATGCAAGTATTTTGTTTACGTTCTTCCCAAATTTTGAGTAAGAAATTTAAACATGATGATAAAAATAACGGCGGCTATGGATCTCCAGTCGGAACGAATTACTTTTCGCTTTTTGGTAGACGTTTACTATATATATAAAATATGAAAAAGATGTGAGCGTCTACGCGCCTACGGAAGTGTCGGAATAAAGTCTTGTTTCACATTTTTCGGTCTCATAGTGTGTAACGCGCGATAAGGAACTTCGTTCCAAAAAGTAACTACATGGAGAGCCATGGTTCGACACAAAAGGGGCCGCCTTGACCGGAGTGATACCGCGGCCTTACAGAAACCGTTGCTAAGCAATGTTATCGTTGCTTTTCTACGAATGAGTGAGGTTACCGGAGTCCCAAGACTAACTGCAATTAATGCGTACACGTGTAAGTAAACATAACTTCCAACATACTAAAATAATATTTTCATTTTCAGTTATTGATGTTCACGGCCTGCGACCGTCTGCTGGTCTCCCAAGGAAGATTGACCTGCCTGTATTCTCTGATGTTCTACAATGTTGTGACGTACTCGGTCAGCTATGTTCGAGAGATCTGCACCAAAGAAGACTGGTCACCGTACGTCAACGTCACTCGCCACTCCCGTGTGAAACACCTAGCCATGTCTGCCACAAAAATAGTTCTAGAATGGACAAAAGCAGTAACATTCATTGTCACTATAACTTTCGTGCTTTTAGCTCTTGGGTTGGAGCAAGGTTTAGAACACTACCGACCAACAGCACTTTACACGGTCATTACTGGCATATATTATCTTTTGACTGAGAAAACCTTCCTCGAACTTTGGCCCCTCGGACTTTCAGCTTTAAAACTGGAGAGACTTGAAGGCATGGAGGCTTTGTACTTTGGCGTATGGTCTAGGTGTATAACCACGTCATTGGCCTTACCTTTAGTTCCAGCCTTGATATACTATGAACGGTGGCGACTAGCCGCTTTAGTTTTATATGTATGTGTCTTTATTTATGGTCGACATAGACTTGGAGAAGCCGTTAAGAAGTTTCAAGAGGCATGTGATTCACTTGTCAAGTTCCGACGTGCGACAGTGGAGGAACTTGAAACTCTGGAAGACGTCTGTGCTGTGTGCCTTGGCACAATGAAGTCGGCCCGAGTGACTCCATGTGCCCACTTTTTCCACGCGGACTGTCTCAGAAAATGTCTTGCTACATCTGACAGATGTCCTATTTGTGTCAGGCCGTATATCTTCTGTTGAATGAAGACTACCAATTTTTAGGTAAGACTGCTTTAAATGATATTTTGTATATTGTCACTTCTAATTCCCAAATTTGGAAATGTAAGTAAGAAGTGATGTTCATGAACCAAGAGATGATAATTTAAGTGTAGGTGATAAGGGCTGAGCTGCAATCTCGATGTGTGTGATCAACTGATCTTTTGGGTATGATCAAGATAGGCTTTTAGGAATCTAAGTTTGTAAGATGCATGGAGTTTAGAATAACATAATATATCAAGCCACAAATCTGCGGATTGTCTAAATTAGTCGAACAATAAACCCTTAATTGTTATATTTCTAAAAAAAAGTAAAATTTAATGTTAGTGTATGATTTTTACCTATTTTATGTAAATAGGTATTACTTGCTCTATTCACTGTATACATACATCAATGATATTTTATTCTTAGGCAAGCCTAAAAATGTATTGTCGCTGATGTATGTATTTCTTGTGTGACATAACATAACTACTAAAATAAGGTTATGCTGAACCATTGTCTGCCTGTTTACTTTTATTGTCTTCGCCAATTTGTTTTTGTTTAAAAATAAACTATCACGAATACATTAATATATTGTCTTTGTATTTCTTTACTTAGTAGTATCGCTTAGGTCCGGTTTGATTGAGATTCACAAGTTAGCAAAGCTAGCAAGGCGATTACATGTGATTGTGTTTTGGATATACTGAATTACCTACGTGGTAAAAATATGTATTCAAAATTTAAAAAGTTTTTAAATTTCAATGTTATTATTATTCTTGTAATGTTAACAATAATCAAACGAGTATTGAAATTAAGATACTTACCTATTTATTATCTGCCTGCAAATGAAAAGCCAATGGGAAGGGCTTGAACCCTTACGCTTATTACGTTGTAATATATGTATTATGTAAGTAGCACAGCTTAATGTATAGTAAACACCCACGGATTCTTTGGGTCCAAATTTGTATTAAATTTCTTAAAATAAATAAAAAATCCAATGAAACTATGTGTATTTACTTAGTAATTTATTTAGTTTTCATTTAATAATTTGACTTCAAGTAGGAAAAGTACACTACTCTGTTGGATAGTCATCTTTCTGAATACCTTTTAGTTATTTATTGTTTTGACCTACTCGATGAGATGAGAGCTTATCAGGCGACTTTTATTTCGCGTGGAAGTGCGCTCGCTTCCAGGGATCAGAGGGAACATGGGGTTTCCACACGGGGAGGGTCGTCTACTTGTTGTAGATGGCCCGAGGTATGTCGGGGCACCAGGGACTTCCTTTCCAGGGTATACCTGGTACCCCGGCTATTAGTACCCGAGACGGCGTGCGGTTTTAGTCGGTTCGAGTCCGACATGCCACCGATAGGTGGTATCCGAGGGGATTTCCGCACGGAAAAAAAAGGCGACTTTTATTTGGTAGGATTTCTTGGTGGGTAAATACAGAGGTGTCGGTAACGGTAACGGTAAAAGTGTCAAGAATGCGCAACGCGCCTTTAGAAGTTTTCACTTCAAAAATTGCACACATATGGCGCACATATGGGTTAAGCTAAACCGGAATACCACAGCCTCACAGAAAACTAAAGGCCAATTCTCGTAAAAATAATAACAAAAATATTTATACGGTCTAGTAATTTTCGGGGGTATTCCCCAGTTATTTACGAAGGGATTCCCCATTTCAGTGAGCTTATCTTAAAATAACTATATTATTTTATTACACTAAATTTTATTGTAATGTCCTTTTGGGGCAGCTGAACTAAAGCTTACGGGTTCGTAACACGTTTTAGAAAATCTTTTGGGATGGCCAAGATGTAACCCTGAACTACTACTTTTTTTATGGCTACTAATCACGGAACATATGACCAGAAGGCCACTTCTCGTAATAACAGTTCGGTCTCGACTCAGTTCCGATCAACTTTCGATCTCACAACTGTCATAAAAGGTATTTTCGTAGTAAAATAGTAAAGTATTACTAAGACTAGCAGATTACCGATTGAATTTTCGGTTAGAATACTATACGAGTATAATCACATTACAGTCAACTTTGGATGTTTAATACTTTACTACGTAAATACCTTGTATGACAGTTTTGAGATTTGAGAGAGAGTTGATCGTTGATTTTAAATATTTACTAGTCAGTTAGCCTTTGACGTCAAACCAAAGATGTAAAACTAAAAACATAGCGTATTTACCTACTAGGTATAAATATTTGTTTCAAACTTATCGTAGTTCTGTGATAAAAGTTAGTTTACAAGCTAATCAAGTTTAAATTCCGCAATGCAATTTTCTTACGATATGTAGATGTTTCGACTTCCATATACGGCGAAGCGAATACGGAGTAACTGCTAGTCCTGTATCGTGATATTAACAATTCTCTCGGCGATTAGCATAATATATACAAATGCCCAAAATTACTCGTTGGGCCGCGGGCCGCTAGGCATGATCACCTCGCCGGGTCGGAGGATCCTCCCTTTGTGTTGAAGGGACATTGCACCCGTTCCTCCACATACTATTTTTTAATTGATATATAATAGATATATATATTTTAAGGAAAAAATATTTTGCAAAGGTGATAAGCTATTTTGTTTTTGTCCTCTTGCTGTAACCTGAAATATATAACTATATATATATAATGCTTATATAATAATATACTATATAATTCTTATTTTCCAAAATCACCCGTTCCCCATTTTTGGGGTAGTTCAAAGGGCGATTCAGAGGGGGCTTGTTTGCCCCCTACACACCTAGGGAACAGTTTTTTAAATTATAGTTCACCTTCCCCATGCCCTTATTGTACCTCCGAAAATGTTTATCCAAGGTGCGTGATGACAGGTGCAAGCCAAACCTCAGCGAAGAAGTGCTATTTTTATATAAAAATAAAATTATAGGTTAGGTATGAGGAAACTATTGCGTTACCTACTTCACTCTTATAAAAAACCTTACTGTCTGCCCATAATTTTATATCTTTTACCTGAAGTTGTGTACTTCTAGATTATCTTAAGCAATCTTAACGAGCAATATATTTTGCTTCCTCCATTTTTTGATACAAGATATAGATTTGTGACTTGTGGATTGAAACCGCGTCAAAAAAACACGGTGTCGCTTGCGTTAATGTGGATATTCCCATATTTTTTTATTGATATACAAGTAGCCTATGTGCTATTCCAGACAATCCAGACTATAATCTATCTCTGCCAAATTTTACCCGGATCAGTTCAGCCAGATATAATTGAGTAAGAAACATTCATCCAAACTTTCGCATTTATCGTATTATGAATAAAGCTATAGAAATAAAATTGTGAAGAACGTAGGTACCGAATCAGTTTTGTATTGATTAGGTTGTCCTTCACACCTATGAGAAAACGAATCTCGAAATTAGTAAGTAAACCATGATGATATTACTTAGATATTTCTGGGTAATCCTTAACAAAACAATACTACCGCTCAAAGCAGTAAGTAAAGTTTGATGGTGGCGTTACCATGACATCATGTGGTTACGTCATGTAAACAAAGCTGTCAAAAGTTTGAAGGTGACAGAACAATGAACATAGGCTGCCGACTAGTGCCGACATAGCGCCATCTTTCTCAGACGTACGACATGGATATATGTTTCCTCTTGTCTCGCTCTCTTGTGCGCATTCGCCAACCGCGTCAAGTCTGAAAACCACAAAGACTTAAGTCACAGATATGAATTCTATTCGAGCCAGTTAGCGCGGCATGCGTATTAAGTAGAGTTATTGTGTAGTGTCGAGCTGATAAAAATTTATAGAATATTTAACGATTTCATTTTTTTTATCAATGAAAATGTGAATGTTAGCATTTATGGTGCCGCTATCAGTGTTGCATTATCGGCGAACGGACAATTTTTTATGATAAGGTAAGTACGCGCATGCTTCATCAATATATAAAGTGAAATAAGTCCTAGAATGATTGGATTGAAAATTCTACACGTAGGTATAATTAATTCTTACAAATATTAACCTTTATACATTTATATGAAGAGATATTAAAATAATTGGAATTATATATTCCAATATTAAAAAGAAAATACATTAGAATTTAAAATATTATCGTTTATATTTAGTCAATAGTAAACCGTCATTTTAGTATAGGTACATATTAAAGTAATTGAAATTAGAAGCACTGAGTTTAAAAATTCAAATAATGTTCATTCTATATTATATATATATATATTCCGGACATATTATTATTAGGTTAGCTATACACTTAAGTTCAATAAAAAATATGTTAAAAATTCTGCTAAGCCTAATATAAAATCGCTTTTCATTCTCTTCTAGTTGAAGTTGATACTGCACAAAGTTGGTATATAGCAGAATCTTATAGTTATGTCCTTGTTGAAATCCTTGACCTCGGGGCTCCGGCGACACCGAGACGGCAAGAGATTGACATAATGACTTGGTTTACTTTATGTAATGTTATTGTTTTTGTTATCCAGTGAAAAATATAATTTTGAAAAATAGACATTATCTCTAGAAGCATAGGCAATATTTTTTGCTATTTAATTTCAATTTCAATAATGGCTAACATTATATCTAGGTATATATATATATACTACTAGGATAGGTACATCACGCCAATACACACAATTACTTACATTTCTATATTTTTCCAAAATATGCCTTGAGACATATGCCTTGAGGGTTCGATAATGGACTCAGTGCCCCTGTCGAATATTGTCCTGATTCTGATTCTGAAGATTACTAAAGTTAAGTTCCATAGATTACTCTTATTCGAAGAGTAATTGTGCACGTGCATCGCCAACCCCGGCCCCCGCCTATGGCGACTCTTTGGTTAAATGAAACAACATTATTAGTATCATCTCCAGCCTATTGCCGTCGACTGCTGAACGAAGGCTTCCCCAATGAGCGCTAACCACTGCAGTCTTAGGCACCCTTCACAACGTTTGCCTAATCGCGGTCCAATCACCAGTCCGCCTGGAGACATGACCGGTCCACTTCTACTTCAGCGTACTGATTCTCCGATTACTTGTGAAAATATTTGTAACCAGCGATATCCATAATAATTTCAGGACTTGTCAACTTGAGAACTTGGTCAAACAATCGAGTATGTACAAGTCGAGCATGTAAAAATGTATAAGCATTTCTAGCAATTTGAGATTATGAAGTGATTGTTACGGATTTTACACATACTCGTACACTACTAAAGCGATCAAAACATTTGAGATCTTATCGAGAGAGAAAAAAGAGAAAACATTTGAACATTTTGTTTTTGTTGAGCCCATACAAAAACACCACAGTTTACCGTTTTTGTTGAAACTTGTATTAGTTGAACTAGATTAAACGTTTTCCTCGATATTTCCTGTGGAATTTTGCCTGTTTGAATATTAATTTAATAACAGCCACTTAATTGTTATTTTCGCTTTTACAAATAATACACTAAGGACACTGGATAAGTAAAAATTTAGGTTTGACCACTTCTCACGATGCGATATTACAAAAACTGCATACATAAAATGTTCGTTAATTAGGGTCAGTGTATGTAAATGTAATTTAGTAGGATTATATTTTGCAATATAAAAACAAAAAAATATAAATTATAACTGTCTTCTAGAGGCGACTAACTCCTATACCAACTTTCAATGAAATATAATCATGTTCTTACCTATACCAGAATTAACGCGATGACGTAGCAGGTATTCAGCCTGCAGTGCAATCTAGTCAAAACGTCAGACAATTCAAAGGAAATTATGCAATAATTATAGGTTAAGGCATGTATTATGGAAAACATTACCTTGCCCGGTACATAATATCCAAATTAATCAATCATTGGTGCTATGCTGGCGGGTGAAGAGGCCTGGGGCGCAAAATGGTCTCTTTCTGTGAAGCTGTAATGCTCCAGAAAGAGACCGCTGAACGGAATTGGAACAGGCTCGATCCCAAACGAAGAAGACTTCAGCGGTGGTATGAGCCGCCGACAGGACTGCGTTCCAGAAAGTGGGGTACTCTGGGGGCAGATTGATTTGTCGATTGGATTGGCCGGGTCTTCCCCGGTAGTAGGACGTTTGAGGCCGGCGGCCGGTTTTTAGTGGAATCCCCACATATTCCTGGCTCCTGCGTCCCCTAGGAGCCGGAGATCCGAAGAGATTTTAAGAGAGATAAATCATCCAAAGTTGGTGAAAGATATATTAAAAAACATTTTGATGTGAAAACGTAAACATAACGTACACAGACAAAATGAAGCGATTAGAGAAAGAATTGAATTGATTATCGAAAACGACCATCTGAAAGTCCGTGTGGTGACGGATTAAGAATACAAAGTGAATATCCCTATTCATCCCGTGGGTGTCGTAAGAGTTAACGAAGGGGCAACCTCTGCGGGATAACGGATAAAAAGGATGATGTACACATAACGTATTGTTCATTTTCCATCATCGTCAGCATCAACAGCCTTTAATCATCATAGGCCTCTCCTCCGAAAGGAGGTTTTGGCATACTCTACCACGCTGACCAGCTGGGTTGGTATAGGGTTTGTTTCAAGTTTTCCTGCTCTTTGCAGTGTTGTTGTCCTGCTCCCTTAGTCGCCTCTTACGATACCCACAGGATGAATAGGGGTGGTGACACTCCATATTCTTAATCCGTCAGCACAGGGACGGTACCGATTATATGGTTTTAATTATTTTAAGTAATTTATTATTTTATTCAAAGGTATAAAAATTATAGGTACTTAAACTAAGGTAAGCACAGAAATCGTGACACTAAGTGTCTTTTTATTACGATTTCCATGAAGGTAACACTGAACGCAGTGTTACAATGTATCGTATTGTTTAACATTGAACACCGCATCGGGCGTGCTCCCGCGCATAAACCGTGGCTATAAAAAGTCGAATATCAAACGGGTGTATTACATCATCGTTGGCTGCGGTTATCACACATAACGCTCTATTTACATTTGTATATCAAACTTTATTCTTAATAACATCATTAAACGTTGACCTCGCCTATTTTTAATAAACTTCGAAAATGGAAGAGGTTCTATTTCTGGCTGTATGGAATTTTTTAAATATTCTTTTCTATTTACACAATATTCGTTGTATCTTTACATTCCCGTCAGTAATGGGCCATCTTTAAACATTATTTTCTGTTTGATAGAGTTCCAATTTGATCCCATTATTACCTGATGGTATCTGGTAATGGATCACCGGGAAAAGAGGAAAACCCTCAGAAATTAGAGGAACATAATTTAGTGTTTCTTCGACACTGCCGTTCAAAATGTTGAATGTTATTGTTATTAACTGTGGTCAAAATGAAGTTCTACGCTCGACTGCTTTTACTTTCTGTTGCCATATCTTTTTTAATCAAAGCCCTACAATTTAGCATTTTGCATTTTTGCTTAGCCAAGGTAACTGCGATAGCGAAAGAAGGTAAGAACGCCGAGCCGATGTTTTTTATAAGAAATTACGTTACTCAGACGTTTACAAATAACATCGGACCGATATCTGAGTTGGTTATCAGATTCGCTATTCAAACATTCACAAATAACATCGGTTCGATGTCCGATTACTCTGAAATATTGTTACTCCTATGTTTACACGCTTATAAAATTTAATGTGTCGATGTTCGCGCTACATGGAAGATTCTCTTTCGAATAATATCGATTCTGGTGTTATTCAGTCAATTTTTGCGATAGTATAAGTTTGAACGTATGTAACTTCTTATCTTAGACGATCTCGTTTGGCGAGGTAGTAGGCTATTTCTTAGGACCAGGATTCATTCACAAACGCTCCTTTTCCTAAACATTTTTCCCACCTCCGTTTGCCTTCAAACAAACTGCTGCTAATTAAATGTTATCACTACTACTACTACTACTACTTTCTAAATACTAGTGCTTTTACTAATCCCGAACGCCTAATTATTTAGAGATTGAGAACAGCTTAATTTATAACAGAAAATACTTTAGTGAAATATCATCACCTTTTAATAACACTTTCAATCTTTAATAAAAGGCCAACCAAAAAGGCAATAGTCAAATTAATCAATAAGGTAAAAAACAATGTAACATCCAACAACAACAGAGCCCAACACAGCCACGCCGTCCGACATACCATATCTCGCAAGTAAGTATTGGACTTTGGCTTATCATCGGTAGATGCTTTAATAATATTACCTTCTTTATTAGTCACACATAGTTTCAATTGAGTCCAAAAAACTAGAAATGTGACGGAGTCGGATGTTTTTGTCCAATCTTACGACACATTCTGCAATTGCTTTAATGATATAGCAAATTAAAGTAACAAGTAATTAGCCTCATAATAAAAAAATTACGTAATTTATTCTCACGTTCTCTTTACATACAAATTTTGTATGGTCTAGTCACTATCAAAAGAACGTATTTTTTTTTAAATTAGAATATACTTAGAGACTGTTGACCGATTAGGCACAATTAAATTTTCAACAAAGTTAAATATAATTTGGTAGGTAAGTATTTAAATACAATAAGTTACTTTTAGAGCAATAAAATTACTTAAAATACTTAAGTACTATTAGGTTTGGCTGGATATCGATAACGATTGTTTCATAGTCAACTCATTTACACCTAACGCCTGTGACATACCCAGATATTTGTATGTTTCGTTAGCTGAGAGACACCTAAAGTGCGTGGAATCTGAGAGTTCCAACCTATCAGACTCCACAACCCTGCCTCTTCTTACATGCATGTTTGCACACTTATCTACCCTAAATTCCATCCTGATACATTTACTAAAGGATTTAATTATTTCTAGTAAATTTATCAATACGGAATCACTGGAAGCAAACAGTTTTAAATCATCCATTTAAAGGAGGTGGGATATAATCTTACCACCTCTCTGCAAGCGATAGCCTAGCCCTGAACCCTACA